ACGTGGGTGCGCAGGGAGGAGGATATGTGGCGCGATCCAGTCAGGCGACTGCCAGTGCCACTCGGCGTCAGCGGAGCATATGAACTCGCGGAGATTCGGGCACCAATCCGCTAGCGGGATCGGGCGCAACGCGTGCGCGTTCTGCTGTAACTGAAGCACGTGATGTGGCGTGGTGAGGTAGTGCTCCTCGATGATCGCAGACGAGTGCCCGAGCTCGAGCTGGCTGAGCTTGCTTCCGTGCGCCTGGAAGAACTGTGCGAAACCAGGTCCGGTGTAGCTGAAGTCGGAAGAGACGACGGAGAGGTTCATGAGTCTCGGCATCTCCAAGGACTCGGCGAGGATGGCGCGGAAGTGCGGAGAGTAGCACGAGAGCTCGAGATACTCGAGTCGCGTCGTGAGGTTGCATTCAAGCGGGTGCATTCGCAGCTGGAAGGGGCGGTCGTCGTAGCAGGTCCAGCTGAGGCGTCGGATCTTTGGATGTGCAACCAGCCTCAAGATCTCCTCCGGGCTACATCGTGGGTCTGACGGGTTTTCCAGGAGACTCCGGCGGACGGAGCGGTGATCGGAGAAGATGGATAGGTGGGGCGCGAACTCGAGGATGGTGCGGAGATCGGCTGGGGAGCAGCGCTCGAGAGCGAGCGTCTCGATGTGCAGGCGGCGGAGGTACTTGCCACTGGCGCAAGAGTAGGGGTACTGGAACGACTCGGTAACGAGCGTGCGCACGAGGAGTTGTGCCTGTGTGGCGCGGCTAATCCAGATGAACTCGTACCGAAAGGGCCGGGCGAGCGCGTTCCACTCACGGCAGACCATGGAGAGCGCGAGCTTGATGCGCATGACGGCGTGGTAGGTGGCGAGCTGAGTGTGGGACGACTCGAGAAAGGAGAGCTCTTGTGAGGTGTCGAGTGGGTCGTGGTCGCTCAGACACGCATGCTATCTCGCCTTCTCGCCAAGCAAGACTGTCTCTTGATGCGGAGACGATCCACGAAGTCTCTCCTTCACGCGTCGGTGCGCGGAGGCCAAGGAGTGCTTGCACGACGGAGACATGGTCGGCGGGGAAAGAGGATGGTGAGAAGGCAGGAGGAGGACGAGAGTCGGGGTGGAGGGAAGTGAGCGCTTCAGCCACTGCATCATCAATGTCTGTGCTCTCGTAGTCACTGCTGTGCATCGCTTATCCTCGGCTACCAGTCGGTGCTAGTCTCTCTCTTCCTGGAACCTACCCTCCTTTCGTGGAACTCTCTCTACTTCCATTCGTATCTCGATCCGCACCCCGCCGCAGCTCAAGCCTCTGCAGGCAACTGCAATCCACCCTGCCGCGGCGACTTGACCTCCCCGTCGTCCTCGTCCTTCCGTTTGGTCTCAGGCTTTTCTCCTCGCTGCGTGGCCACGGTCTGCAACGTCGACCACAGCGACGACGTCACGCAACGACCATGATGACGGACGGTGGTGCTATCGCATCCACACCGACAGCTCTCAGCTGGCGCGACCTTCTCGTTCCCGACAGTCATCTGCAAGACACTCTCGTCGTCGAGTACGGAAATATCGATCAGAGCACGCTAGCAGAGACAGAGAAGCACACCACTACCAAATACGACTATGCACCCGACACCAAGGATATCCCTATTCGTATATCGCACGTCAGCGACTTGTCCAAGCATATGCGGGATGGGCTCATAGGGAAGTTGAACGAGGGACAATATGCGAATCAAGCCAATCAGACGACTTACGCGCCCAAGGGGAAGAGCGTGCTCTCGCGTTTTGAATCGATGCAGGAGACCTTGCAAGACTCAACGTTGCATACCCGCTACGAAGACGACTGCAACAATAGCATGGTTGCCATTTCCAACCTTGTTGTGAAGGCATACAAGTCAATCACGTCACAAATTGTAGACAGGACATGGAACAACTTCGTGCTTCCGGATTGCACATACAAACCCGACACAATCTTCTGCATAGGGGGCACAGACAAGGTTGTCATCTTGGGGGAGAACAAGGCCGCCGACGCATTCAAAAATGATGTGGACGGCTTCATCCAGGAGATCCAGAAAATGGGAGGTTCTGTATCGCCTTTCGAGGAACCGCTCAAGGGACCACCCTTCACAGGTGCTCACGCTATTCTCCTCAAGGTTCACCTGTCCTTTCCCTTCAGCTCTGATCAGCACACTGAGACCCTTGTGCACCTAGCTTGCCTCTGCGGCCGCCATAGGCAAGACGCGTTGGGCAGTCATTTTTGGCGGAGACAGATATGTCGTCATCTATATCTCCTACCTTCACGACCGGAGACCCGTCTTCTACATCTCTGACACCCATCCTTTCAGTCGAAATGGCCTGAACGAGGATGCACGACAACCGGATTTTGACAGATATCTGGCGCTCTGGGGTGCACTTGTCTATATGCTTCTGACCGTCGATGATACAGACGAAACCCTGATGCAAGTGCTTCACCTCAGACGTCTTCCAGAAGATAATGTGCCGCTGCCACCAATGGGAAGGCAAGAAACCGATGACGGAATTCTCCTATCTGCCAGGCTCAACCACCAGGTAAGCTGATCAGTGTCTGGTTTCACTTGTGTCTGCTATTCTGATTGCCGTCCTCAGCCTATCATCAGGATGAGCGTTCACATTCCCCACTTCCAGCCAATTAATCTCACTCTCGCCGACTGCCCGCTTCTCACGAAGGCTGGCGGATCCACCCCGTTCGTTAAAATCGATCGTACTGATGTGGGGAGGTGGTCGATTGTTCATACATCGCCGAGCACGAACCTGGTCCTCAAGTTCCCGAATCTATTGAACGGGGAGGACGTGGGCGTATGCAGACTCCTGGAAGATGAAAGGCAAATCTATGAACATTTGCCACGGCTCTGCAGGCTTGTCACGCCGCATTTCTATGGGGCTTATGACTGGCATGGTGGGCGGGTCCTTGCATTCTCCTACGAAGGCACCTCGCTGGCCGATCTCGGGGTGAGATTCTCATCGCTAGAGCTCATAGAGAGGTGCGTGTCACGGAGTATGTCAGGCTCGGACCCAGTCCTCTGACGAAACACTATAGGATTTTACTCTATTGCCAGCTCTGGCTTCTCCACCTGAACAAGATACAACACAACGACTTTGAGACGAGGAACGTACTGAGAAAGGGCTGGGCAAGGTTCGTGATCATTGACTTTGCCCTTGCACGGGCCGACCATGCATGTCCGGGATGGAGGAGCTGCCGCGAACTGGTGGAAGCCCGGCGTGCTCTGGGTTTGGAAGGCGTCAAGGACGCAGTAGCCCGGATTCAAGGTGTCGTCAAGGGCATTCGTGGAGAGCTTCTGTTTTTCCATGTCATCCTTGCTGTGCTTGCGTTCATACTCGTCCTTATTCTTCTTGTGCGCCATGTGACTGTACCGCTTTAATATGTCGCCTACCACACATAATCACTGGTGGAAATTGATACATTGCATTTAAACAACTTCCATGGTGCTGCTGAACAGAGACGACTGGAGCAAATTAACCGAGACAGATCTGGGGGCTCGACACAACTTCGTGCTTTTGCCGGAAACGCCGAAGTGGAAGAAGCAGTCGACGCATCCGCGGCCGAGTCTACCACTTGCTGAACGGCTGCACTACTAGTTGATATCTGTCGAAGCCAGCACAAGAAACTTTGAAAGCTCATGGCGCCAGCCGGTGGCGAGAGCGTGACGCGATCGTCGTCCTAGCGCGCCGAATTCGCGATGCTTGCTCAGTACTGTTCGAGCTACCTCTTGACCCACTGCAGGACCTGGTAGGTCATCAGATATTTTCTTCGCGGTGATCATGCATCCTACGCCTTAGTAATCAGCGTTCGGGGCAGCAATCCTATGCTTCAGAATGCTATGTATTTTATGGTGCATTAGAGAAATAGTAAGTCTCTCCGTGCTCCGGTCCTTCGATCTCCTTCGGCTTATGATGGTCATTGTAGCTAGAATCGATGAGTGATTCTCAGTATATCTGCCTTCGACATAGCCCCATTCACAAGCATTGCCAATTGCGCCGAAGCGTGCTCCGGATAAGGTCTTGGATCATCGGATTCCATCCATTGTATGCCACAGGTCGGTGCTGCATTGACACTTCAGTATCGATATCAGATAAGGACGTGAGTGTTCTTAAATCGAATGACACGATTTCAGAGTTGGCTCATTTGGTCAAAACATTGCGCTGCCAGTGCGTTCACCTGTATCGAGGAACGAAGATGAATATCGTAATGATGCAACATTTTGCAGACTTTTTCCTGTCCGTCATTTTTTTCTAGCGCTCACAGTTGTTGTGGGACATTCACGCGCTTAAGCTGATGGCACTGGTGCCCACTAATTTCGAGAGTTTCAATACAGCGCTGAAGATGGCTTAACACAAGGTGCGTGTCACCCGATGACACACTGAGCATATTTTGCTTTGGTGACGCAAGCCACCTACCAATCAACTTGACGGTTCCTCATCTATATGAAATCTGCATCCACGACCGGATTCATATACGTCAACGGAGAATTTGCCCTTGTTGAAGGGCTATCAGTCCGCCCTTGCATTCCTATCATAATGGCACTTAATCCAAGCAGGTATGGCAGTACGAAAAGGTCAAAACGAGCGCAGGTGAAGATCATCTGCAGCCCACGAACGTGCTATGCAAAGTAACAGTGCCCGGCCAACTTTATATCTTTAGAGACTCTGTTAGAATCCATCATTGCTGGATGAGGCACCGAATCCCGATGCCTCTGAAAAGCTATCTATCGCAAATTACGGCAAGCATTGCCCGCCTTATGACCAATCGACCTCGAATTATGCGGTGCTCTCTATTGATCATCGACTTGAAACGGGCAGCGCACTACAACGGTCACAATCGGCAGATGAGCGCATATATAACCCACGACGGCAGGTCCCACAATTCTGACCAGGTCGCCACCCCAGTGCTCATTCACGCTATGCTCGCCTCTATCAAACGTCTTGCCACTCTCGGCTGTTTTGTAGCCTCTGCATTTGCGCAGAACATTGACATTAGTCAGCCTGTGTCCGGAACAACTGTCAGTGCAGGTAGCGACCTCATTGTGCGGATTGACAAGCCGGTGCGTTCTCAAAAGATCTCCACGCATATTGTGCACTCATTCATCTTCTATTTCTTTTTAATATATTTGGCGCATTATAGGACAGTCTCACTGGTTCAGTCGAAGTCGGCCTTGCTATCAATCTCATCTCCTGTGCGGATTTCGGTGGCTGCGCTAATTTTGATCCCATTGAGCGTCTCGGCAACACTCTCTACACTGGCCCGTTCAATCCCACCTACCAGTCTGGCGACTATTATCCGTACGAGAACTTCACCGTTCCGATTCCGGCGGGTTTTGCTTCAGGCGAGGCCGTTCTGAGCGCCACCCACTTCGTGCTTGTCGGCGTAAGTACAGATTGGCAGTCAGTGTGCGATGTTGCAGGTGATGCTGATCATGTGTGGGATGCAGGCTAGCCCACAACCTTACTTGCAGACAGCGAATGAGACGATCATGATTGCTTGAACTTAATGATTCGATAGCTGCTCGATGACCTCAGACGTTGTTGATTACTACTGATTGATCTCTCTCGATAGTATCTTGATGACCTATTCATGCCCACATTAGTATTGAACGACCATCCCTTATAGTACTAGTAGTTTTGGTTGAATAGGAAGCAAATCAATAATGTTACTCCGAAGTAACTCATTTGGCACAACTATACTGTGTCGCTCTTCAATCCCCGGACTATGTGCTAGCCCGATGCTCGGCCCCTGTGAGCTCGACCCGTTGTTTCAAATCTTTCACGGTGACGCCTGTTCCATTTTAATGTGCACGCTGCTGCGGTTGCGCGCGACCAACCTGTTCTACTGTTTCTTTCACTTGCAATTCATGGCCTGCAATTTTCTTGGTCAATCATCAAGCTCAAGGGCCAAAAACTCTGGGAAATGACACATGCAAATATGCTCGATCGAGAAATCGGTTAGTAGTAGGTAGATCGTCCAGCTGAATCGTGCGTTCGTGTCACCGAGATACCGCAAACATTTACCTCGAAAGCCGGATGAAACTAATGATACCGAAACTATTCATATGCGTGGAATACACTGTCAAAGAGACCTCAAATGACTTGCCCGGATGCACAGGGTTTCTCGGCTCAAAATCCATTGCGTTGAAGAAATACCCAAGTCAGTGGACTTGAGTCGCTCAAGGGCGGCCAATTTAGCCTAGAGCGACACGATATGTGATGTACGTCGATAACAAAAGCGATACAAGATCGCTCTTTAGTGACGATAGGAGTGGCAGTAAGTGCGTTCCGGTTTCCACCAACACTCGAACAACACTCATATGACCTCAGACGACAAACCGTCGCGCAGTGCCCGAAGGCATATGCGGGTTCAGCGCACTCTCACTTGCGAGCGTGTGTGTCATATCACAGTGCGTACGTGACCCTGGGGTGATTTACTCCTTATCGAAACACACTCCGAGTATCAATGCATCATTTGCGTGTCGACTCACAAACCTACAAGCTGTACTTAGTTATCAGATAGAGCTGGCTCTTCATAAACATGAGCGGGATATTACTCACTCCGACGATGCGATTCCCATGCTATTCAAACATTCAGAAGGTTAAAAGATGAGCTGCGACCATCGTATAGCGGAAGTATCTGTGCAATGCCAAGCCTATTAGTGTGTTCGATCGATCGCCTGCCTCCTAAGTACCAGCGAATGGCCAACGCTGCCTGCTATTAAATGCTGCCATCATTCTTTAGGAATGCGAATGCGGGATGACGAACTACCAAGGACGAGCACTCGAGTGCATCACAAATCTGCTTTGCTTCCGTGGATGAGTAATTTCCCGAGGACCGCAGAATAGCATCGCAGCCTGGAGCTTCCTTACTAAGCAATACCATGTATTATGAAGCCATTCCGGGCCTCGAGAATGCTCACATGAACACTGTAGAAGTGGCGTCAGAAGACTTCCAAAGCACGACAATCACCTCACCAGAGCGTCTCAGCGGCCGTCCCTGTGAACGATTGATTGCGGTGGCAATGACGCTACAGTGCGGGAACTGCTGACTGAGCATATCATTACAAACTCTCGGAGGAGAATGCAGCTATATAACCAGCCGGGAGAGTGGACGAAGTGCAAATCGTTCCCAAGCAACTGCATCATGGCCACCGCTGCGACCCTTACTCCTCATGACGTACCCACCACTCTCAATTACTATGCCCCTGTAGGCAACGAGGCTCCGTTCCAGTACGTCGAGACGCCTCCAGAGGGAAAGCCGCAGAACAACATCGGCCTCGACCCTCATCCCGTAGTCATCCAAGATGCACGAGGCAGAGAGTCGGAGTACTCGATTGACACGACCGGTTTTCAGTTTGTCAAGCATGTCAGTGCTGAGAAGGAATTCGATGACGATGAAAGGATCAAGACTGTGTACTACAAAGAGGTTGAGGAGCTTCTGAAGCGCGAGGTTGGTGCTAAACGGGTCTATATTTTTGACCATACCATCAGGTCAGCTCGTCTGATTTCACAATGATGACATTTCTGTACTCACTTTCGTTCCAGGCGCAAGCCGCAAGAAGGCATTACTGGACCGTTAAATCGAGGCCCAGTGGTGAGTTGACAATGACTACGATAGGCTCATTCTTGACGAACGCCCCCTCAAAGGAACGCGTCCACATTGACCAGACCTTCGATGCATCTGTCAAGCGCGTGCATTATCATCTCGGAGATGAAGCCGACCGTCTTCTCAAGGGACGCGTGCGCATCATCAACGTTTGGCGGCCGATACACCACCCTGTCGCCCACAAGCCCCTCGCCGTTTCCGACTGGCGTTACCTCGATACGGAACATGATCTAGTTTCGGTCCGGTTTATCTATCCACACCGCGAGGGCAGCACGTTCAGTGTACGCTACAACCCGGACCACCACTGGTACTATCTGTCGAACCAAACGCCGGAGGAGGTGACGCTGATCAAGTGTTACGACTCGGAGGTAGACAGGGCGAGGCTGACGCCGCATTCCGCATTCCCGGATCCGACGAGCTCGCCGGAGGCGCCGCATAGAGAGTCCATTGAGATTAGGTGCCTGGTGTTTGATACCGAGTGAGGTGGCGCAGTTGTATCTAGAATCTTGCGTTTTCTCTGTATATTTGTCGTGCCGGTGTGTTGACTGTTGGCCTCTGCTCCTGGAGCAGTGATTAGCGAATTATATGCCACGATATGTCGTCGGAAAGAAATGGCCATTTCACATAACGTCGATGCGAGGCTATAAATTTCAGGAGCGCCAATGCATCTAGAAATACAGTCAAACGTATGTGCGCAAATAATCCAGTAGAAGATACACAAACTATGCGATCAGATAATTATACAACGTCATGCCCCAACTGCCTCCACAGCACCGGCAGTGGAGCCATCACTCAAGCCATTGGCGTACTGGAACTCGCCCGAGTTCTCATACTGCAGTGAGATTCAAAGTCAATGGATGAGCAATTGAGGATAACCAGTACATGACGCACCTCCCACATGTCAATCGCGACCTGACAGCTCTCACGGACGACCCTCGGCGAATCCGGTCGCTGCATCCACTCCTTGAGATAGGGCAGGACCTCAGGCGTGGCGATGCCTCCAAGGGCCTCGGCAGCTTCGTGTCGAACCATGTCGGACTCATTTGGGTTTTGGAGGATGGTGAGGAGAGACGGAACCGAATGGGTGGAGAGAAGTTGACCGAAGACGAATGCAATCTCATGTCTGAGAAGAGCATAATGGTGATGAATGGGACCATGTGATATGGAGATGTGGGTGCGAGAACGTACTTGAAGAGAGCACTGTCGTCAGAGAAGCCAGCTGCTAACGCGTCGACGGCAGCTGGTGTGCCGATATTGCGTAGTGCGAACATTGCGCGATACCGTTCGAATAGTGAGCGGGACTTGTCGAGAAGCGCAGCGCGTAGGCTGATGATGTTCTCTTCTGAGGCATCTTGCGGAGCTGCATTGCCTGAGAGTAGCTTTGATGAGGGAGGTGCGGGGTCTATTGAGGTGTATGTCCTAGCGAGCAATTTATTAAGCAAGAAAAACCTCAGGAAAGTAAGGACAGCCGCGTACTGATCTGATGAGGATGCAGCAGAACTCCAATGCTTCCTGCCTTCGTCCGAGTTGTCCCATTCGATTTTCGCCAACGCAATCTCGCATGTCTCACTGACACTTCGATTCGAATCCGACAGGTACTTTCGGAGTAGAGGTATAGAAGAGGTCGAGGAGATCGCGCCCATGGCTTCAGCGGCCTGTCCTCGCGTGAGCTTCCAGGAATGGGAGGGTGAAGGACCGCGACTTACGCACCTCGTGCCGCACCATCGGATCTTCCCTTTCGTTTGAGAGGACGTCCTCAAGCACGGGAAGCGCAGAGCCGTTCTTCATCTGGCCAAGACAGTACGCGAGCTCGTGCTTCAGGAGTGCGCTGTCATCCGAGAATGCTAGTAGGAAGGCAGGTGAAGAATCAGCGCCATTGAATCATAGAGAACCCAGATACCCGGATCGCATTGATGCATGTTGCGCACCCTTTGAGATGATCTTGACAGCTTCGTTATTCTTCAGTGCCTTGAGCGTGAAGAGGGCCCTGAAGCGGTTGTGCAGAGGGACGTTCCCGGCGGTGTTGAGCAGAGCATCCTCGAGAGCAGTGAGCGTCGAAGGCGAGACCCTGGGTGCGTCGGCCTGTGTACCCATCGTTGCAGACAACGTGGAGACAATAAAGTAGAACAAACGATGAAAAATGGAATTAAGGAGGAAGATTAGATAAAAGGACCAAATTTTGATTAGATCGGTACGGGCGCTCGCACTTGCATCTGCATTCCATATTTGCGCCACTGCTTGAAAAACAGCAGACGTCGTTCTGGCTGGATACCTCTTTCGGTCGTTTCTGGGCTATCTCTTCTTGCCTGTGTACGAGTACGATACATTTGGTAAAGTGAAGCCATGCCCAAGTCAAAGCGCTCGAAAGTCGGTGAGGACCGCTCGGTGGGAGGATGGTATGGCGGGTTGCTCATTGAGGGCCATTCGTAGTGTCCCTGACAAAGGTCACCAAGAAGACCAGGGAACATAAAAATGCACTGCTAAAGGAGGTGCGAGAGTTTGTCAATGTAGGCCGGTCTGAGCTGACCGGCGGGTGCAGGTGCAAGAAAATGCAGACAAATGGGAGTACTGCTGGTTGTTCGAGGTGGGGAACATGCGAAATTCGCATCTCAAAACTGTGCGAAAACTATGGAAAGAGTACGCATCCTTTCTACTAAGTAGTAGGACCATAATTGACTTGCAACTAGCTCTGCACGGATGTTCTTTGGTCGAGGGGCAGTCATGGCGAAGGCTATAGGCACAACACCGGAGGAGGAGTACCGCATGGGATTGCATAGATTAGCCAAGGTATTTCAAAGACTCCACATTGTGTCTCTAACATCCTTGGGTGCTGAACGGCCACACCAGCAAATAAAAGGCCAAGTTGGCCTCTTTTTCACGTCCACACCACCGGACGAGGTCATCGCATGGTTCGACGACTTCAAGCAGCCCGATTTCGCGCGCGCAGGCAACACGGCCTCCCGCACCGTCACGCTTCCCGCGGGGCCGGTCATGCAGCAGCATTCAACGCCTCCCGAGCCGTTCCCGCACAACGAAGAAGCACAGCTGCGCAAGCTCGGCCTGCGCACAAAGATGCAACGGGGCGTGCCGACCCTCGAGACTCCGCATACGGTGTGCGAGGAGGGAAAGACGCTCAACGCAGAGCAGGCGCAGCTGCTGAAACTCGTGGGCATCAAGATGGTGCGATTTAGGGTGGGACTAAGGGCTAGGTGGGAGGCCGCGAATGGGGAGGTCGTACAGTTGGGCGAGACGGAAATCGCGGAGGATGAGGTTAAGACGGGCGAGGAGGCGGATGGGGAGCAGGAGCAGGGGGAGGAGGCGGATGAGCTGATGAGTGAGTAGGGCTATTCGTCTCGCTCGGTATTTGGTCTTTTTCTCCGTGTGTGTTGCATTGCGCCAGAGCTACCATCTATCTTACCCCATGCGGAAAATTGCTGCTTGACACTCCGAATTGTAGTTTGCTGTCGGTTCAGCGTAACTTGGGCCACACCTCGCACATTCGAATCCAAGTGTTCTCTTCGTGTTTCGCTCATGCTCAACAGGTGACTTGTTCGGCTACGCACTTATCTGGTCTTGTGGCACCTCTAAGGTTCTTTCGATGTCTGAACTCGCCTTCCAAGCCTTGGCGCCGTACGCGTTGCGTGCAGGTGAGATTTCCTCAAATCATGTCTCTTACTGATGCGCTGTTCAATTTCATTGTCTCTAATGGAGCCCACCTCAAAATATATTTTCGTGAATTTTTGCCGCAGATATGAAATCGGCAGATGTGGCACATTGGAGAGTGTGGCACCGTGATTTGCGCCATCTGGATGCATTTCGAACTGCTGCAACACCAAGCCCGCCATGCGCGGTCATTTAGTCCTTCCACCATAGGCTATACCGGCCTAGGCATCCTGCACAAGCATTCATCCCATCGAACGTATGGCATAGCTCGCGTGAGGACATGTGCATTCGCGGAAGATGCCTCTACGGGCGTGAGAGAATCTTTCTCTGAATCCCCGGCACTGATGCTAGCTGATATAGCTGTCGTTCTTATTATGACTTTGATTTGACATTATATGATGTGCGCCGCATTGGTATACATTGGGTGAGAGACTTGGATTCTGCTCTGAGTCTCGTTATTGACATTTCCCCGCTTTCCCATGTGGCCACCCTTCGCGAATAGTGTGATTTGATGCAAGTTGAACATGTATCATCTACGCTTTGGCGAAAGTATTCCTGTGGAAGCACCTTTGCACGAGACAATATTAGAATGCCGTAGAAAACAAAAGTCTCGTAGCTAAGATTATAGCGTCTCTCCAGTCAAGGCCTCGCGTTTCTCACACAAGAGCTGCACGACTTGGTACGCTCCACACTTGCGGAATGTCCGTCTTTTTCGTCGTGTATGTCTGAAATGTTTCTGACAGCGCTGAGAAGACATGCCTAAAAACTGAATGCAAAAGACACTTACGGTACATCTCCCTGCGAATGCCCTCTATTATGATGACTTCCATGACGGGATGGCCGATCTCGGCAGGCGCCAGTGGCAGGTTGGTATCCTCGTGGCTCGATCATGTCACACTTATCCATTTCCTGCCTCGTATGGCAACTCGCGTGGTTCAAGCTTGCCCAACGTCAATCATCCTGTGACGAATTCCTGCACGGCCGTCCCCGATGTTCATACAGCCGATATATATAAGCCGTGGCATGTTCGAGTGGGTCTCTGTCCGCACCCGCCTCTCCTCTCTCCCCTTCTCCATTCCCCTCCTGGTGACACCCTCCAGCGATACTTCACCTGCGACCGTGTATACGCATTCATACGATTGATATACCTTTGCGAACAATCATTTGACGATACCGGTGATGCCTTCCCCAGCGGTAGAGACGTGTGTATCCTGTCTTACAATCAGGAACGCTGAACACTCATCGCATGCGACAGTTATGGCCCCATCTTCGTCGGCTGCGTCCTCAACATCCTGTTGTATGGCATCATGATCACACAAACGTTCCTGTACTTCACTGTGTACAAACGGTACGTGATATACACGCCTCTGACGGGACTGCGACCTGACTTTGAGCTCCAGTGACAAGCTATGGATGAAATTATTCGTGAGTGCTCTTTGTTCGTTTGTTTCTGCGTAATCATTTAGGTTCACGTGCAGGTCGGCCTCCTTTTCTTATGCGACACACTGAACTGCGCCTTTGACATCGCGTTTGTGTATATGCCTTTGGTGAACGGCTTCGGTACGTGTGTGATCAACACATACATGCGGGAACATGCACTCATAATCGATCCTGGCAGGCGATATCAAGAGTTTAAACTATGCATCTTGGGGTGAGCAATAGCTTACACTGATAGTAAGATATCAATGCTGATACATACGTACTAGTCTTCGGCACAGGTGATTGCGACACCGGATTTTCCATATGAACTTGCTGACCGGCCATCATCTCTAGATCCTGCGATGACGGTACGGATATCTCAAGCACCTCATTTCACGAAGCGGTTCGATTATTGATATTGTTCATAGGCATTCATCGCCATGTTTGTACAGATGTTCTTCGCTTGGCGTGTCAAAGTTCTCACTGGTAGTATCCCTGCCGTACTGTTCATCATGTTCTGCTCCTTCTGCCAATGGTGTATGTTCCACATTTCTACTGTTTCTACTCGACACTGAATTGATGAGTTAGGTGGCGGTCTCGGCACATCGATCGCCGTGGGCATGATACCGGAGTTTACTCACTTCCAGCAGTTCGAGGTGATCGTCATCATCTGGCTCGCGTTCTCGGCTGTCGCCGACTCCGCGATCACGACGGCGCTTGTCTGGCACCTGGTATGCAACAATCCTTCTTTATTAACCGTAATTCACTATATACGCCTCTATATCCTTGTAGAGAAAGCACAGAACTGGGTTTTCTCAGACTGATGACATCGTCAACAAAATCATCAGACGTCAGTACTCAATCGATACGGCATTACTTGGCAGACTCATAACATTGATAAATGCTGTAGTGACTGTCCAGACCGGTTTGATCACCGCTTTATGTGCCATTATTGATCTTATCCTTTTCCTCGCTACGGTTAGTGATAAATTCTGATTTTTGGTATCTCTGCTGCTCACGTCTTCCATATTATGCTACGCATATAGCCCGCGGGTTTACACCTGATTTTCAACTTGCCTCTCTCAAAGCTGTACACGAATTCGCTGATGTCAAGTCTCAACTCGCGCGCTGGATGGAAGTACGGGAATGTAGGTGCGAGCACTGGCGCGAGCGAGATCAGCCGAGCGAACATGAAAGGTCTCAGCATGCATGGCGACATGGGGAAGCGGGTCAGTGTGATGAATCCTGTGACTTCTTTCTCCCCTCTCGTCCTCTTTGGCCGAAGCGCTGACGAATCATTTGATTCTTTGTTGGTTGCAGGGCCAGGAAGTTTTCATTGACGTCGAGTCCCACGAGATGATCGACGTGATGGATAAGTCGCCGTTGCCGAGTCCGTCGGATGCTCTAAAGTCGTATGCGATGCCCGTCCGTCAGCCGTCAGAGAAGACAGCCAGATTCAGCGTGGGAGCTGTCCCTCCGAGGCCATCCGCCCAAGAGTGAGCGACATATTGGCACAGCAACAGCGACGGGCTTCAAATGACAAGGAACCGGATGGAAGGAAAGAACATGTGATTGCAAGGATAGTTGGAAACTACGTTGTGTGGATATATGCGTTGAATCGTGATGCTCGCATAGGCGAGTACATGTTGATATCTTTTGGCGATATCGTTAGCGACCCCTTGCGTTACTCCGCAATTTTCTTACGCTCTTCTTTGACTTTCTTCCCCTTGCAATCAAGTTGGCGGATGGATGAATGATTTGTACCATGTTGGGTTGTTGTATTTGTCACATTTCTTACCTTTTGGGAACTGGAACTGCGTCACCTTGTAGGGATACTTGAATGGTACTACCCTTGATAGCTGTAGTCGTCAGTATGTACACTCGTGAGCTTCGTCAACGCCTTGTTTGTTATTCATTCGCTCAGGCCCTAGCCCGTGCGGTAACTACTGTGGTGGAGTCATATTCCGGGATGAGGTCGAACTCATTCATCCGTTCCGTTGGCGTCGTGTGCCCTAGGAAGACTCAAAGCAACAAATGTGCAAATTGTCGGACTAGATAAGATTTGTTTCAACACATAACAATGGTACATTGAATGTTCATTCGCGCCATCAACACGAGGTCAAACTTAAGCTCAAACGCAAAGGATGTCGACGAATTGTGAAAGACGCCAACTGTCGGCCGTAGTGCTGACATTGGGACACTGCGTCAATGTGTGGATTTTAGCACCAGAAAAAAATACATATACAGGATGTTGGATCCTGCTCGCCGGATGTGAATAGGTTAATATTTGTGGTGGGCAGACACCACATTTCCTTCGAACCGGCCGCAGGCTCCGAGTGGATATAATTGTTACCTCGCTGCAATTGACGGCTCCTCGGATTTCGGGCCTCACGCCCATGATCCACGATGGTGCAACCCGGGCCCGCGAACAGCAAACGTTTGCCACCGCCGACCACTAAAAGCAAGATGCATCGCGAACGCCACAGCAAGCCTGCCGGGATCTCACGCCACCGGACCGTGGCGCTGGATAGCACCGTATGAATGCCCATTGCCATATGATTATCATCCTGCGCAGAAATACTCCTCAGATCAGCTATTTCCTATCAATCAATGTGCTATCACTGCGTAAGGGGATTAGATGGAGGCGGAAAGCGCTTGAAAGAAGCAAAATCAATATTAGTTACGCAGCAAAGATGTGCATATCTCGTGTGACTCAGGCTCGTCGCCTCTCTGTACATTTGGATACACTGACCCCCCCCTCCAGGCTCTCTTCCTCCCAGCCTGCCTTGGATTTCAAAGGTCTACGTTTGGGGCCTGGGGTGCGGTGGTACACACAGCACCTCTGTGACATTTGAATGATTTTCTATATCTCTTCACTGGCATCCCATCCGTTTCTATCCTCGGTGTCCTCGACGTTATCCTCTTCGAGCATGTCGGCGAACCTGAGGTCGGAGTTATATTCCAAATGTTCGCCCATGTTACCGACGATTCGAGATGAAGATTGGGTGCTCTGCAAGTGTAGTGTGATCGCGTTGGAATGGGCACCAAGACCAGCGGCTTTGTTTGAGGCTTGGCGAAGGTTCAGCAGGAAGCGATTGATGAGAATCGATGAGAGCCTGAGGGTTTATCAGTCCTACAGTGATGCAGCGAGCACGACGGACGACTGCATACGGAATGGAGAACGCGTTGATGTAATTACCGGCGAACTGGGCGTGGACAATCAGCGTCCAATTCATAGAATATGGCTCAACGAACATACTATGCTTTGCCGACCAGAGGATTTGAGAAGAATTATTTCGAGCACCGAAAAAGCGAGCAAGACCCTGTCCCTTGATTGAGCCTCCGCGTTGCACAGGCCCAAGATATTTGTATTCGTACGTAATATATAACGTCCCTGTGCGTATCAAGAAAAGTCAGGCACAGATCGTCCATGGGTGGATATGTGCTTACCATCACGGAGTAGCAACATTGCTAGAGATGAACCCACATTTGACTTCCGGGATTCTTTTGCTATTCTGTATGTACGGGCCCACGTGCACAGCAAAACAATTAGGTCGGCTACGGTTGTGCACATTCGTGCAAGCAGCAATACTACAATGGCGATCAGAAGAGAAACAATTGCGACATTATAAAAGGGCTATTCATACGTCTGCAGTGACAATAGTCAGCCAAAACTGGTAAAACATGCTGTAGTCCTCACGCTGTATTCACAGAAGAGGAGAAATGTGCATTGTAATCGCATAGTGGGTAGTAGCCGAGTCGCACCACAAAATAATATGAGATTCGGATGCATAAGAACTGTTGAAATTCTGGCTTATGTCATTCCATGAGAATATTCGGGACTGACCAGCTCGACAGCTACAGGGGCCAATCCAAGCGACAGGACAACCACTGCCGAAATCGCTTTGAAACCATCATTGGCAATGGCATATACGCGAAGAGCGGAAAATCCTATGCGGCAGCTGTAATGATGTTATTGTGCACCTTGCATTTGTCTAGCTGACCTGCCACGATAATAGACATAGTGATCATAACGGCCTCGATGAACATGTTTGTAGCTTCGCAGCTATGAAAGATGATCTTCAGCGACGTAGTAGTTCCGCATGAAGTCAGAGGGGAGCACCTCTGTGGATGATCAGATTGACATCGGAAAGCAAATTCAACAATTTCTCACCAAAGCTGTGTACCAGGATAAAGGGTTTAAAATTTCTGAAACCGCCAACAAAAGCAGAACATAACGATTGAGCAAGAAGATCGCATTGCTGAGGGTGATGCTGCGGGTCCAAATCAGGAAAATTTCTTCAGCAAACGTTATGACGTATTCGTAGACTGTTGCCGCTGAAAGGAATTTAGGAAAAATACGGGGATAAAATGGGATATCGCACCGGCTGCTGCATAAACAAAAAAGCCTTGAACTGCGCTGAGCGCGCATGCACTGTGAAGAGCCATATAAACCAGAATAAGAAGATGAGACTTGCCCTCCTCGTAACGCATTTATTTCATCCTGCACTAGCTGCGTCGACATGGCAGATACTGAGATGAATTTGAGGATAATGGCCCAGGAGTCCTACAGCCGAGCGATCTTGTTGAAACTAGTCCGTGCTCGCAGTGAACACAATGCCCTATAAGTTGACTGCATCGGAACTGCGGATCATCATCGGATGAACAGGACACGTTTCATGACCAATGATCTTGATCTGAGAACTTGAAGCGTGTTTGTTGTTGGTCGCCCCCTTGAAAAGAAGTTTCACACTGATCCTCGGTTTCATGAAGGCTCCTCTTCGGGCAATGCCGTCTGCAAATGCAGCGACCACTTGGGCTGACATCAGCAAAAGCTGCAGATGAATATATAGACATATATATGTATATAAACCACCCAAGACTTGTTTACCTCGCAAGTCTTACGACCGTATATCTATATATATATATGGGATTTACGAGAAATTGCCAATCCTCAACGGACCACCCAAGTCCTCTGAGAGATTGTGAAACACTCGCATGTCTTATGCGTGATTCTAAATTCGTAGCATGACTTGTGTGAAACTGTAAACCAGTCGGAGGTCTTCTGTGCATTTGCAAAAAGGTTATAGATTTTGCGTCCGATTGTAAATTAGTCTCAGGGTCTATGTTCCCTTTGCAAGTTGTTCCAAGGCCGGTGAGCCCTTCTCAATACATCCCCTTCCTTATGAGCCATTATTCAATCTGAAGTCGCATTCTGAGTCATTTAGAACCACTTTGATCCATTTGAAACCACAACAATGTATCGTGAATACAGCCACTATGAGTGCCCATTTCTATACCGTACCGTACATTGCGAATGCGATACGAAGAGCCGCCGGTCACGCCAGTACAAATTCTAAGACTGCAAGTCACGACAGCGAGTGACAAGAACAAGAAACACAAGCGACGAGAATGAGCGCGATCCAGTGAGTTTTGCAGATGCAGCGAACTAGACGCGACCAGCACGTTTGCCGTGGTGACAAGATGCATGAAGAGCAAATCCTGCAAAGACGAGACTAAGGCATGTAGGCGAGAGTCGAACAGTCCGTGCGAGATGGAGGAGAGCAAGCACAGAGCGCAAGACGGTATAGCGTTCACAGGTCAAATCAGGAGGAAGCGCTTCCCGCCGCAGCGTGTTAAAGCCTGATGATGTCCATTTGAGATTGGCCGGAGCGGTGTCTTGCGCGTTTACTATTGTCCGGGAATCCGGATTGGTTTCCTAGACATATCCTTGAGAACGACCGATTAGTATGTGCACCGGCTAGTCCAAATCACTTACCAATTCCGGGTTTCCAGTGTCGGGGCCCCGATGTTCGGGGCAGTTTTGGTAGAAGCTGGACCGAGGAATGTATTGTCATTGCGCATGGGCACAATGCGAAGCGCACCTGCGCATTTCGTTAGGATGGGATGCATTCGACAAACATACACTTACCAAGAGGCAAAGATATGCCAATATATGCAGCGTGCAGTGGTCGAGCACGTACTGCTAATCGCCGCTCTGTCATCATTGACATCAGCATGGGCGTTGGCGCCTGTCTCCGTTCTTCCCCATCATCAACCTCCCCGATGACGACTCGAGGCTCGAGTCCGTCGTCATTGCGAGGCTGCATTTTGAGCACACACGCTTCGTCTTCGCAGGCAGCGGCAGCGGGAGCATCACCGCGGGCCATTCGTGAGACTTGACACGAATTTGGTGGAGGCTGTTAATGTGAGACTGCAGGCCAGCGCATGCATGGGGAAAACAAACAGGCTGAGGGATTTTGCGGGAGTCAGCAAGCACGTTTGATACTATGATGTGATTCAAATCGAGATGCCATGATGGCAGTGAAGATGACAAGGGATGGGATGGGGAAAAAAGACAGTTCAACAGATCAGGAACAGCGCATATATGCACACATTTGAATAAACAGTCCATCCAGCATGAAGCTCTGCATGCATCCGGCTGTCATCTACCTCTCATGAGCCACCCTTCAGAGACAGCGCAACCGTCCCACTGCCAGATGAGAACTGACAAAGCCCCGATGCACGATCTCGGCCCCGTCGCAAAACTTCGCGAGGACTCCGAGAAAATCAAAATCAAAATGATTCGCACTCGCTCTATCAAATGGCCGAACAAATCCCTCGCAGACGTTGAGGCTCATCCAAATATCAGCACGAGGCACAATCGCAAGGAGTCAGGATCACCATACATAGCATTATAGCATGAAGCCAGTACAATAAAAAATACGATACACCTAAATGAGCACGAAAATAAAAAGAGACGGTAGTCGAAAAGAAAGATAAAAATACGTCAAACGAGAGCAAAATAACCAGTACTCACCAATATACTTTTACGTAGCAGTTGGAAGGGCGTATGGACCTTCGCGGGCTACTGCGAGGCGGGTTCTGTCGCAATCGCGTAGAACGAAAGGAGCGATGGCGACGGGTCGCAGGGCGGCTGTATGACGGCACACGCAGGCGGCACCGCTCTGCGTAGCCGGTGTCTAGGAGGGAAGTGGCGCGAGCAAACCGGCGTCGATGTCTGGGACCGCGGAAGTGTTCTGGTCGGCAGGTGTCTTATGGGAAGTGCTGTTGGTGGTGCGAGTCGTCTGTGATGTGCCGGTGGCGATAGTGGAAGAGGGAGGAAGAGTGGCCTTCAAGCACAGGACGGTGAACGCGTCCTTATGACGTGAGCGAGAAAGCTGAGTTTGAAACGTGCGCTGACCGAACTTTCTTCCTCTTTGGGCAACCGACTGCCCTTCCAAGGTAACTCTACTTAGATCTAGAATTGTAAAGCATGCTGAGTGCTTGCAAAGGAAAACCAAGACCGGAACAGATTTATCTATAAATATATATGTTTTTAATTGCTCACAGGATCTGTGTGAGCTTTAAAAGAGCACACAAGACTGCCGGTCGTTTGAAATCTCTCATAGGACCTACGGGAGTATAGAAGCACATATATGCATTTTTCTATGTTTATCTACAATCCCAACTCCTGTGTGGTATATAAAGTCTCACCGGCGTTTATATTCATCTGCAGCTTTTGCCGATGGAGGTTCAACGTTCAACGTTCAACACCAATGTCGCGGTCGGAGTGGTGTACGGCGCTTTCACAATGGTGAGCAGTGCAGATAAGATTTATCAACCAGAACCACCATCTTTGATGGCCATCTCGCACTGCAGATATCTAATTGCACTCTAAGGCAGAACTTTGACTCCGCTGAATGCTGAGCGCTGAGTAAGCGCTGAGTACTGAGTGCTAGGCACTAACCGGTGCAAACTGACAGGAGATTGCAACTGTCAATGACTCCCGTTGTCCTTGGCTTGGCGCTCAAATCGTGCGTCTTCAGCGCTATCGCGGTCTCTGCCTTCCTGTACCCAGCGACACTGGTCTGTTGGTCTAGATTTCTTTTATGAACTCATGCGGAGAAGTCTCGGACAAGTTCTGCTGTACAGTATAGTATCTCATTGAAACGTGCGCAACCTTGTTGCTAAGATTACAGATACTCAGTGCTGATAACGCACGACTGCCTCACTTGTTTGTTCCGACACGAATGACCTCTCATGATAGCGACACTGTTGCGGTCCACTTATTCGTCTGCCTGCCTTTCTATCCTATACAAACTCCTCTATCTCTACATAACGTCGATGGCCAGATCTCAATGCTTCAAACGCAGCCGTGGCTATATGACTTCCTGTAAGCAACGAGCAACTTCATAGCCCGCCATATGCGCGTGGCTGGTGTCGTGGTGCTATGTTCCGTCGGTGTACTATGGCAACAATTTATATTCACGTTGATGGCCACGTTGAATCCTTGCACATGCAGCATCTCGATGCCCTCGTACGCTGGCCTGCAGGAGTACGACCTGGTTACACATGGCTGTACTCACATAAGTCAGCGAATCTCAGTTCGTGCAAGCGTCTTGACTTCCACTCTGTGCCCACTGTCAGCGCTATATAACACTGTCTCTCTGCGACTTTTGACTAGAACTCTATACTCTTGTCAATTTAGTCTCTGCCGACGTCATGTCCCCTAAACAGCCCAGGAGGAACAGCACTATGCCCTCAGCCCGAGGCAATAATGGCTATTTCGACTCGATTACTCATTTACTGAGGAGAAACTATGGAGGAAGTCCTCTCGGATACGGTGAGCTTGTACGACACCTCGGTAGACTGCAACTGACCTGTAGGATGCAGATGATCGGGATAGGGACTCGATGCTCTCGGTACCCTCTGTCTCGGACTCCAATCGCTTTGAGGAATTACAGCGCAAGGTGACAATCTCGCTGGCATAGAAACTTATGCGATGCTAACAACATTTCAGCTGGATGAGACGACCTCTGCGTTATACAGCAAGGCGCTTGCTGTAGACGAGCTTCAGGGTCGCTTCAACGGTCTGAAGTCATCTTTGAATGAGTCTCAAACGGAGTTGGAGATCTATCAATCTGCTGTGCAGTTGCTGAAGGAGGAAAAAGCGAGGCTGGAAGCTGAAATTGCCGGCGTCAAGAGCAATTTGAGTGATTTGCAGACGGAACATGCCCAGTCGTTATCACAACTTGGAGCCGCTCGCGAGCAGGTGAGCGATCAGTGACCGTAGCCGTAACGTAAATTCTCGCTGACATCTCACTGAGCTCGGCGAAGCAACTAGGGCTGCCGATACGCTCCAGAAACAAATCGGCTTCCTAACCTCCTCGTTGGACAATGCCTCCGCGGAAACCAAAGCCAAACACTTCGCAATACAGTCTCTGGAAGAAGTCAAAGCGCAGTTGGAGGCAGAATGTGCTGGAGGGAGAGAGAGTCTAGCCAGCCTACAGGCAGTTCACGCGGATTGCCTGTCTCAACTTGAAGCTCTTCAACTTCAGGTACGTTATAACTGCGCGGGTTTGATATGAGTGATGCTTATTTTTTTCGGTAGTCTGCTCGAAAGGAAGACGTTCTGGTGGCCGAACATGCTGCTCGAGTTGGTAGTGAACAATCGCTCAAAGCATTGCAAGCGACATATGGCAAACTTGAGGCCTCCCATTCCCGGACGCAGCAAGCTTTGGAGGCTAAGAGTTCCGAGCTCGATGCCATGTTGAGGCATGCTGACTCCCTCACTGAGGAAGTCGGGTCTATTCGAGCTAAGCGCGAGGAAGACGCACAGCGGATATGCTCCCTCGAAGCAGAGCTCACAGGTTTAGAAGAGGATAGAAACGCACTTCGGATCGAACATGATTATTCACTGGAACGTATCAGATTTTTGGATCAGGAGATCATGGATGCTAGAGCGGAGTTGGAGCAAGCTGTGAGGCAGACCCGGGCGAAGGAGGCTGAACTCAGGCAAGCTGGCGCGCATTCCCAGTCACTCTCCAGGGAGCTCGATATCGCTCGGAAAAAGTCGTCTCAGCAGGGTTCGCGCATCCAAGAGCTTGAATCGAGCTTCGCCGAGTTGACTGAACAGAAAGCTCAGGAGCTTCAAGCCAAAGATGTTGAGCTACGCGATGCGAATGTGCGCTATCGAGCACTTTCAGAAGATTTGGATGGTGTTCGTGAAGAGACAGCTCGACAGGCTGCTCATATTGAGCAGCTCAAGGCTGACTTGGTTGGCATGACCGAGCTGTATTCTCAAGCTCAGGACGATGCTCGGGCCGCTGAAGAAGAACATCTGCGGAAGCTCAAGGGAGTAGAGAGCGACCATCAGGCAGAACACAGCAAGTTGTCTGAGGAAGTGAAGAAGCTACAGGCACAACTTCAGGTTTGTTGCAATCTTCCGTCATGATTTATCACCTTCTGAACTTTGATGTAGGCGCAGGAGAAGCACCATATGGACGAGCTAGAGGTCAGCAACGCTGCCCATTGCGATGATATCGCCACATTGCTTGCAGAGAAAGCCGAGCAAGAGCGTATCAACGAAAGTTCCATCCGCGAAATCAAGGAACTACAGGCTGTCCGCGATATCGCCAGAGCCGAGACACGTGCCCTTGAGGCAGAGCTCGCGGAGATCAAGGCCGTGCTGAGAGCCACGGAGGATGAGCTTTCCCAACACAACTCTTCCCTTTCGTCGGCTACGCACGAAAGACACGCACTCAAGAAACAACTCGATGAGGCGCGCAAGCGCATGGGCGGAAAGGACGCGATCATCGAGGGCCTTTCCACCGAACTCTCTCATGCCCGCGACGCCCACGCTGCTCTGAGGGAGACATTCCTAGCGACAGATGGCCGCGCAAAGGAACTGGAGGAACTCGCGAGGAGTCGAGATGAGGAGGTCGTGCACCTTCGCGCCATTCATCATGATGAGCTCGCTGCGTCTGACGCCATGGTGTCGGAGCTGCGCAGCCAGTGTGACGCGATCCGATCTCAACTTGATGAGCTTGAGGGAATCAATGCGTCCCTGAAGAGTCGACTGGAAGGTTCGGAGGGGCAGGTCGCGAACAGCAGCCGGAAACTAGAACAGGCGGAGAAGGCTATCTCCGACACTATGGAAGCATTGGCTACAGCCTCGCAAGAGGCGGAGTCGCTAAGAGCACAGCTTACCGAACTGCGTCAACAGTTCGCCGCTGATGAGAAGGCGAAGAGCCAGGAGATCTCCCGGCTCTCGAAGGAGCTATCCGATGTCAAGGCCTCACGGGCGGCTCTCGGCAAGACGCTGAACGTGACGAAGGAGCGGTTGTCCAAGCAGCAGGTGCTGGCCGCTGAGGATAGCGCCAAACGACGTGAAGAGGAATTCGGACGGCTGCGCGCCGCTCATCAGTCAGCTATCAACGAGCTTCATGCGAAGCATAGGGGCGAGATCCAGCAACAGGTAAAGACATCCCTCCAGGAGATCGAGCGACGCGATGCTGAGCTGTCAGCCCTGCGAGGTGAACTCTCTGCAGCAAGGAGCGCTGCGCGGGCCGCCGACGAGCAGGTGCAAGCCGTGAAGGCGCAGTTTGACCTGCTCTCGCAGAGCGCAACGGAGCTCGAGACGACCAACAACGGGATGATCACGGATATGCAGGATACGTATCGGAAGCAAGTCATGGCGCTACAGGCGGAGAAGGCTGAGCTGCAGCGTCTCCACGGCTTGCAGATGCAGGAACTGAGGATGCAGCATGAGCGGGTGCATTCCGCGATGAGGAGTCGTCTCAGTGCCACTGGTGTCTTCGGCGGGTTCCTGGCCCTCATTGTGGCTTTCATGGCTTGGTATCTTTGATGCACGGCGGTCCAATCTGTCTGAAGCTTTGGCTGTCCTTTGATTTATGCAGTAGACTCCCGGGACGTTCTCCGAATGTACGCGCGTCATTCTCCTCCTTTCTCATCATTCTCATTTTGGGACCATGATTATAATTTATAGTATAGTATCGCACGGTTATCATCGATTGTATTGTTACTTGTACAATATTCAGTATCTCTCTTGACCAACGATTAACATGTGTGTGTGTGCAGAAAGAGGCGAGACCCACGTCGGAAAGAGACCTGTCATGACCGTGATTAACTACCAATATACCTAGGACTCACAATCAGATGTTGCTCACGTCGTGATGGGGAGAATTTCTCCAGGAGGTGTTCATCTCCTCCGAGAACCCTTCGCAGTCGCTGCCGTGCCAGTGTCCAGCTTCCGCTTCTTGGCTGACTTCGCTCCAGAAGGACGAGGTGCAGTAGGCCGTCGAGCCTTTTGTGGACTCTTCTGAGGGCTGCTCGTATGAATAGTTGCGGCGTAAATTTGTGAATCCTGCAGATAGAGACCGGCTTGAAACAAGAGTTCATTAGCCTACAAGAACCTCGCACCTCAGCCGTCATAGCCAGCTCGTCTACATCATCGTCCGTCTGCTCGTGCATGAACCTATTATGTCGCCTGTGGCTCCCGTCATCCTGCTCTTCATCTTCGTCCTCGTCCGGCTCCACATATCGCTGTCTCTGGCGTGGACGCCCTACATCAGACACCCGCTCATGCTGCCTCCTCTTTACGGGCTGCTCCTCCTCGGGCTCGTATGCTGAGCCTGAGGCGTCGGACTCGAGAATCTCCGCATTAGCCTCCGAGTCATCCTCCTCTTTTACTGGGACGGTGATTACTGCGTGCACACGGCGGATGACCCGCTGCTGAGGCGCCTCGGTGGGTGATGCGACAGAGGTGCGTGTGCGGGACGTGTTGTGGACTATGGTCGAGCGGGAAGGACTTTGTTCGGAGATGCGTTGTTGAGAATGCTTTGACGCGAGAGAACCTCTGGAGTCCCGTACAGGACGGAGCTCCTCGATTTCAGACGCGCGGATACGAGGTGTGGTGTGCTTGCGCTGAGATGCGCCGTATGGGTGGGATGACGCAGAGGCACGTTTCGTCGAGATAGATGATACTGATGAATGATCGTCATACTCCGGGTAAGGTGTCAGTGGCGTTGTGAGAGCTCTAGCAACGTTTGCCTGCGTATTCCACTTGACAGGCCAATAGTGAGCTTTGCCGCACTCTGAAAAGAGTGCACACATACCGCGAGTTGCTCTGCAACTAGTTCATCTATGCGCGAGGACAGACGACAACGGTCTTGTTCGGCCCGTAAACACTGCTCTTTCCAATCAGCTATCTCGAGGCGAGAGGACTCTTCAAGCTTGATGAATTGGGTCTTCCATTGATGTGCTTCTGCTCGCAGGTGTTGGATGCTCTCTGTCTGCTGCTTGGTGCTTTCCGCCTGGTGCTTGATCTACTACGCCAATGAACCATGCCTCAATCGAACCGATTCCAAAGCGGGGCCTACTGTTAACTCGGCTTTGTCTATCTTCAGGAGCTCGTCAAGCCCAATTCAATCCCACTTCCAATTCGCGTACTCACTGCAGCCTGCAATGCCTCCGCGCGTCGTTCCCATTCCCTTCGTTCCTGTTTGAGAATGTGAAGGACCTTCACCGCATCGTCTCGTTCCCGACGTGCTTCGACGGCCTCTGCATTGGCACGCGTCACATCCGACCGAGCTTGTTCCTCTACGGTTGCGAGCTGACAGGGAGACTAAGGTCATATAGATGTAGTAAACTGTCTGAGACATACTGCAAGGTTGGCAGCCTTCGACAAGGAATTAAGTGCATCGGAGATAATAGAGGAAGCAGTGGGCGGCATCGTGCGAGCCGATCTCAAGTAAGATGAAACTGGAATTTGTGGTAACCGTAGGTGCTGAAAAAGGTCGTATACAATTGGACGCAACGCCTTTGTTTACATTGAACGGCATATTTTATTAGGCGCGTAAACTGAAGTGAGCGCCTGCTGGTGGCCACATGTTTCGCCACTCCCGATTCCTCTGTAGTTCATCTTTGCGATTGGCTTTCATGGCGGCCGTCAGAAACCCCTCGAAAATTCCTCTCTCTAGTAGTATACCCCGCGATGTCCGTGAATTTCTTGACGATTACCCTGGGACCACGGACGATGGATCCCTCGATGCGAACCTCCGTTTCTACTCAAACAAGTTACGCTGCCGGCCAGATAACCTTTTAATAGAGGAGATTCATGAACAGTGAGGTCTTCTGGTAATCCGCTGAGAACGGTACGTGCTCAATTATCGTTAACACCCAGATGGAGGGGCGACTATGCCAAATTGGAGTACAAGCATGGCTTTATACAGTGGCTGTAAGCACCGCCCTTTTGCACATGTATACCTGTCGCACAATGACATAGCGATGAAATGGACGGCGCTTTTAGATTCCCCATACCAGAGTACGGCATGAACTATGAATCACAGCCACTGCAACACCATGAGGCAGAAGCGATGAAGGCAGATCCCGCCATCATCGAGCGTGTCATGCGGTCGTATCAGCTGATGTTGGATTTCTATGGCATGCGTCTTGTGGATGAAGATACGGGCCTCATTGAACGATCTCGCAGAAACTACAAAGAGCGCTACCGGAACCTCGTTCGTAAGTTGTCGCTTTATCTCAAAGAGTTGTGCACATATACAATCGTATCACATATAACGGCTAACCTCAAAGCCTGACCTAACGGTGCTTAATGGCCATAAATCTTTAGATCTTTATCTTTCTTTTGATCTACACTTCGCAGGTCGATTGCTGTCTAGCAGCTGCTTATTCTCATAAATTGTCTTGTCTGTCACTGACAAGACCCTACTGAACTGATCTTCTCTCATGCCGCACACAGGTTCCTCTCACAACAATCTCCGAATCACACGCATCCTGAAGTGCCTCTCCATCCTCGGGCTCGAGCGGCTCAACGCGGGCTTTCTCCTTTTCGTCCTCTCAGAGCAGAGTGAACATGGAGAGCTCGATTCCACTGATATTCGTAGCAGTATGGATCGTTGGTGGGCTAATTGCGTGCGGAACGAAGAAGAGCGCGAGTGGATAGGCGGCGCGATACGTAAGGTAAGAGCTGCAATTAGCGGAGGACCTTTCACGAGGGAGATGTACAAGGAGGCATTGGAGAGGCGCAAGAAGACCGGTAGCTTGGGGGGAGAAACATTGCCGGCTTCTTCGGAATCTGAAGTGCTAGAGGCTTAGATCGTTGAGGTACGTTTCGAGTAACCGTTCAAAGCTCCAGGAGTTGCACTGCGATCATATTGCATTGTGCTTGAAATGACATCAAATTCGCGTGCCTCTGCTTTTAAGCTGACAATACTCCATAGATATGACAATATCGATGTACACAATCTGTGCAGCGTTTTGAGAAGACTCAGATGGTGACCTTGGTCTCCTTTGCTGGTATATATACGGCTTTTTGGTGTCATCAAGTCCTCTTATCATGGGTCACTTTGAATTGAAGGTCGCATCCAACGCGCCAGGGATCCCGTGCGGGGGATGGGGTGGGTGCGCGTTGGGTGGGTTGGAACACTGATTGCAATCAAGCCAAATCGACTTGGCTGTTGTTCTCCATGAGATGGTGTCTCAGTTTTGTTTTCTATCTTCAACGCCAAGTTCGATTGGAGTGAGTCGTCCCTGGCCCCTGGCTGGGCATGAGAAATACCTGAGAAATACCCATGTTGGTTTCCGTAGGTTGACTGCTTCGAACCTATGCATTTGTGCATCGTGTATCCATATCAGCACTTTCGATGGGACCTTACATTTCTCATCTTGATGGATCAACAATACAAATGCGCAGCTCACGATTGCTGCGGATTATGTGTGCAAGGATTGCATTTTCGCACCGGTGCACGGATATGTTCCATTTTTATGCCTGACTACGCTCTTACTTACTTACTTGTATACAGCTCACGTAGCTTGCGAACATTGTATTACATGCTTGCAGCTAGCGTGAATGGGTATCTGGCGACTAGGTTACGGCGCTTCACCTCTAGCTTCACACCGTTATCGTCGCACTTCCCCTCATTGATGGTAAGCGCCGAGGAAGCTTGTGTACCCACAGATATTTTCGTATCCTTAACATCTCTCTTCGGCCTGCAATTAACCCTCAGCTTCGCTTTCCAACAAGCGGGGAAGCTGTTGACCTGGGTATTTGGCGACGAGGTGCCACACGTACAGGATGGGTTTGCACGACAAGTTCTATCGCAGGCTGCGAAGAAACATCTCTTTAGGTCCGTCCTCTATCCATCTCATCTGTCAATGTCATGCAGCAACAAAGTTCCTGATTTTCATAGATCCACTCGTCAGGAGCTTCTGCTGTTTGAAACATGTTGTGCATAGCATTTAACTGCCTTTCACACCTTGCTCCCGCTCCCCCCCCCCCCCCCTCCCCCGCCCAACGCTCCATCTTCCCCCGCCCAACGCTCCATCTTCCCCACGTTCATCCACTTGACCACCAGCAACATTTGGTTTCCAGAGACATCATTAATGTCTTCCGGAGAGAACTCAACTTCTATATTCCAAAATACGGTTGAGGGTATTTGGGAGAGGTCAGTGTGTCTACCCGCGGAATTTAATCTTCTAGTCTTGAAATGCGCTGACATTGCGCATTCTGTGATTCCAGTAATGTTTCAGCATTCCTGTTTGTCGGAGTGGCTGGTAAAATAACACATCTCTGGCTATCCATTGAGTCTTTCAGCGACCTCACTGACCTGTGACTCTTTCTTATATTAGTCCTCATATTATACGAGTATGCCCTCACCCTGTCAGCAGAAGTGGCATCCGTATGGAATGGCAGAAAATCTCTAGTTACTGTGCTCTTCCTCTTCAATCGGTATGCTTTGCTGGCGGTCGGTGTCTTGTATCTGTTGAACGGGCCGATCTACTGGAGCACTCCGCTCGTGAGTACTCGACATTTTCATTGCCGTTGGATTAAATCACTATTGGCACTTCAATTTGACTTTGTAGAGGTGTGTGCATGCCCTTTTTCAAGGCAATAGCTCGCGGCTAGGCTTATACGCTCACTCAAATCCGCAGTTGTGAGACAGCGTATATGTTGCTGTTTACCATTTCAATTGCTATCATCGCTGTCAGCTCTGGTCAGCAGAATTCATCATAATCCCGAAGGTGGCTTTGTCTGACAGCTATGCAGGATTTTCCGCTCTACGCGTGTATGCTGTTAGCGGCCACAGACTGGCACCTGCCCTAATTACTCTCACCTTGGGAATGGTCTTCGTAGGCGTGCGAGTAGTACGTGCATCTTCGCAGTCGTGTAGCCTCTAACCGGCTGACGGTAGTGCAGTATTATTACATAGTCACTTCGTGTGCGCACGTTGAACACGCCTCCGGCCACTCATACTGTGCCTGGAACATACACGTCTCAAATCCTGTGCAATTCAAGTGAGTGCATGTCGAGGCCTATATGTACGACACCTGGATGCTCATTATTTCTGCATGCGATGCCAGATGTACGTCCGCATGCTGCCTCTTTACTTCAGGAGAGATTATAGAAATGATTGTGTTGCAGTAACAATCACTGAGCGGATCTGCGGAATAGCGGCAGACCTTCTCGTCCTGACAGTGACTTGGTACAGAACGTACCATGTTGCAAAAAACGCCCACCGAGCCGCACTACAGACTCCGATAGTTGTTCTATTTCTCCGCGACGGTGAGCTCATAATGACATTGTGGTCGAGTCGTCAGTAATACATGGATTCCTAGGCACGTTATATTTCATGTATGTGAAGGTGCTATTTCCACATACAGAGCACAGCATTCACCTAAGATCTTCCGTCCAGTACACTTTTGATACTGAATGTGCTTGGGATCGTATTAGTAGGCGGTGTCTATGGCAATGAGGTTTGCATATTCTCGTTTCACGCTATTCCTGCTGATGGGAAACCGAACAGGGTGATTGGAATGTCACATCGGTTCTCCTTGCGCCGTGAGCAGACATTTCCCAATAATTCCGAGAAATGTGATCCTTATGCCATTTACAGCTTCTCATCTATCCTTGTATCTCGTTTCATCTTGAACCTGCGCGAAGCCTCTTGTGACGATGCTGCAGGTTTAGACTACGGCACGCGTGACGGAGCAACGAGCACGCAGAACGCAGTGTTCGCGTCTCGCCTTGTCGGAAATATCGGCACGGATTTGCAATACGACGCGTCATCCAGTGATGTGATGAACAACGAAGAGAGCGCTGATGTGGGCGATGAAAATGATGAGAACGTCATGCTGGAGGTCGGATCTATCGTGAGCGACTAAACATTTGTATACATCGATTCGAGCCTACGGGACTGTTACGCACGAGGTAACGATACGAAAGATCTGCTCTGCATTGTAATATTAATATATAGACGTAAGGCCGACCAGTGGTCGGGCAAACCTTACCAGGACGATCGAGATGTCATGTCCGTTCACATGAAAGCAGGAACTGCGGTGATCATGATGTTGCGGATGCACAGCTCGGTCTCGAACGTCCTCGCAACTAGCCAAGCAGTTCATAGCTGCCATCGATGCCCTTTCCGAGTCACGCATCATTGAGCGGGACGCTGGCGACTGTCATTACGGGCTCAGTTGCTGCTCGCGGCGAGCTGGCTTTGGAAACCTTGTGGATATCGTGGGATGGCGCCGTCGTTGTGACATCGAGCAATACGTTGCGGAGGCTGCAACAGCGGAGATGAAAGCGGAGAGGGTGGAACTAGGCGTAGAGGCAAATGGAAATGCGGAGGCAGTTATAAACAGTATGATTACACATTCTTGCTCACCCAACACGAGCAAAATTGATTGCAAAAGCATGATATCTGCGAGGAGGTGCTTTTGGCCTAGTGCGGTATAGAACATTAATGTCTTGAATCACTATCGGCAATGCGGGTGCAATGAGGTACTTTATGATTGATCGACCACAGCTTCAATGATAGTACGTATGTCCGACAGTACGCGCGCATACTGCAGCACCACTTACTCGTGAATGGGAGTTCTCAGAACCGGGGTCAGTTCCTGCGTCAGGTACGTTGCTTCTTAACAACCGATTGCATCGGAGCGAGTGTCGAACGTTGCGTTGAACGTTGAACGTTGAACGTTGAAACGTTGAAATTTGAAAGATGAGATCGAGGCGCATTGAAGCACAGCTCATGGACGGTGGCGGCCGGTGGAGATTCACCATTCCATGCTCAGGGCGACTTGTCGATGCGTCTAAGACTCAACCCTGTGCCCTAAAGACTGAATAGCGATGCTCGGCCTACCTTCACAAGTAGTAATTCCGAAGATCTCGGGACCTAACGTTCAACGTCCATTAATGTTCAATTATTCAATATTCAATGTTCACCTGTCTCAAGGAGCACTTCAAGTTGAGCCCGATTGATTTGAATGGACGTTCGCGGGAAAGGAACTTGTTTGGCGAGATCATGGTCTCCATTGTGTTAGACGCAGGCCACAATGGAGTCTTGGCCGCATTTGCTGGGCCGCACAGAAAGGCTTTCCGTGAACGCCATCGATGTACATCTCGGAGCAGAAGGGGAACCGAGTACGGCATTGGCAGACACCGTCGGTTGAGATCAAAGGGCACGTTTCCGCCTCGAGGCTCTGCACGAGCAAAATGGGGTTAGCGTGATAGGTACAACGCGCTTTAGGCACGGCTTTCAACGTCAGCGGGCGAGAAATGAACTTGGAATGCGACGGCTATCAACAACACGTTCTTCCCGTCACGTCATGGACCACTCAGAAAACTGCGCATAAACTTGCATCTGTCTGGGATATATTCGCGGAGGATATGCATCGGCTGTACCGCGGTGGACGGGACATGCATTTTGGGAGTTTGAGGGTAGAGAGCAACGGCGGGAAAGTCGCGTCCGCGGGTGTGCCCGAGCGACGTCGAGCCTGGGCCGCACATCGTCTGACGGGGTCGTCCGCTGCCACCGCCACGTCCTGTAGCCTCTTTACGACGGTCAACTTCCATCCTCGCCCCCAAGCGTCTTGCTAGTTCTTCCTTCTTCGATTGTATACTTTCCTACTCCGCGACGTGCACCTGTAACAATTCGTCCCAATACCCACGCTGACGCTGCCCAGACTGATGTCGCCAGACAAGCACGCCGGTACCAAAGAAAAGAAGAAGGGCACGAACCCCCTGGCACGGCTTCGCGGCACTACCAGCCTTCTTAAAAAGAGATCCAGCGAGGCTTCGTTGGGTTCTATCGACGGTGCGCTCGAGTTGGGCTCTCCAGCATCCACGCCTTCAACATGGGCACACACACTGACGTTGTCGTAGAGCAACACGAGACTCACGAGTTCGGCGAGCACGCCCACCATCACGGACTTGGACTGCTCCACGTCAACGTCCACGATGTCGGCGATCACTCTCATTCTCCAAGCTCAGACACCGCCTCCACTGCCGTCGACCTACCTGCCATCGCCGAACTGCAGCATCAGGTGCCGTTCTAGGTTTTGTTGCATCACGTGTGACTCATTCTCTTCCTCTGCATCAGCTCAAGGATACCGAGTCCACTCTGCACGAGCGCGACGACCACGTTCACACGCTCGAGGAACGCATCCACACCATCGAGGCTGAGCTCAAGTCCTCTCAACTCGACCTCGAACATGCCCGCTCGGACCTCGAGAATGCACAGTCATGGCGTCAGGCCTCCGAACAAGGCAAGGAGCGTCTGCAAGAAGACGTGTCTAAGCTACAAGAACGCGTGGGAGAATTACAAAGGGAGGTAGAGAGGCGGGAAGGCGAACTCGCAGGTCTCAGGCACCAGGTCAGCTCGTCTCTTCTATTCCTTCAACGTGTGCAAGTTCTGACGTAGATCAATAATTATACACGTTAGCTCGAAGAAACTCAATCCGCCCTCGTCACCAAATCCTCTCAGCTCGAGTCCGAGCATGAAGCCCGCACACACGCCGAGACCGAGCTCAATCAACTCCAGTCCCATACCTCCGAGCTCCAAGCGACACACGAGCGTGCGCAGTCCGAGCTTGCCGCCAAGTCCACCGAGCTCGAGTCCATCACCGTCAAGCTCACGGCCCTCACCGCCGAGCACGATGCGCTCCGCACGTCGAGCGACGAGCAGTCTGCTAGGGCGCGCGAGCTCGAGCAGGCACTGCACGCTGCACAGGAGGAGAAGGAGCACCTCGAGCGCTCGCACGCTGAGGCCGCTGGGCGCGTGCGTGCGCTGGAGAGCGAGCTGCAGGCACAGGTCGATGCGCTCGCGAAGGCCGAGGGCGACGTCGAGGCGAAGGCCGGTCAGCTCGATGACCTGTCGGTGAAGCTCCAAGGCTCATCGGAAGAGCTCGTGCGTGCGCACAAGGAGCTCGACGAGAAGACCGGCGCGCTTCAAGAGCTTGATAAGAAGCTGGAGACGGAAAGCGCTGATCGCCAGGCCCGCATCGAGGAGCTCGAGAGGGACTTGGGAGCCGCGAAGGAGGACCGTGATGCCCGCCAAAACGAGCTGGAGGACGTGAACCGCCGCATGGAAGAGCTCTCTCAGGAACGAAATGCTGCCAGCCAGCGACTCGAGCAGCTCGAGGAGCAGCTCCGCCAGCAGCAGAGCGAAGGGAACCGTCTCCAGGCGGAGGTCGAGCAATCTGAAGAGCGGCTCAAATCGGCTGAGAGTGCACGCGATGATGCGCAACGTGTGCTGGAGGAGAAAGCGACCGAGATTGAGCAACTCAACGCGCGAGTCCACGGCACCGAGGAAGAGCGCGACCAAGCCCGTGAGGCGCTCGAGGCGCGCACCGGCGAGCTCGAACAGCTGAACGCCAAGCTGCAGGGCGCGGAGGAGGAGCTCAGCCGCGCGCGCGAGGAGCGCGACGCTAAGGCATCTGAGCTTGACGCGATCGCATCCAAGCTGCAGACGGCGGAGCAAGAGCGCGAGCGCGCACAGGAGGAGCGCAACGAGACCGGCGCGGCGATGGAGGCGCTCATGGCGCGGCTGCAGGCTTCGGCGGACCAACTTTCCGAGGCGCAGGCGACGATTGAGGCGAAGAATGCGGATCTCCAGGAGTTGAGCACCCAGTTGCAGGCGGCCGAGCAAGAGCGCGGGAGTGTACATGCGGCGCTGGAGACGAAGGGTGCAGAGCATGAGGAGCTGAAGGCGAAATTCGGCGAAGTGATCGGCGACTTGGCGAAGGCGAGCGAGGAGCGCGATGCGAAGAGTGGCGAGCTCGAGCAAGTCTCGGCGAGATTGCAGCCTCTGGAGGAGGCACTTGCCAGCGCGAACGCGGATAGAGATGCCAAGTCGGCGGAACTCCAGCAACTCAGTGCGAAGCTGCAGGAGTTACATGATGAGCACAATCGCGTCCGCGAGGAAAGGGACGCGAAGCACGGCGAGCTCGAGCAAGTCCACGTCAAGCTTCAGGGCGTCGAAGAGGAGCTCTCCAGGACTCGGGAGGAGCGCGACTTGAAGCATGCCGAGATCGAGGCGCATGCCGTCAAGCTGCAAGGCTCCGAGGAGGACCGTGCGAACGTTCAGACTGCCCTTGACGCGAAGAACGTTGAGCTGGCGCAGCTCAATACTCATCTGCAAGCATTTGAGCAAGAGCTTGCACAGGCAAAAGCGGACCGCGATGGGAAAGTCACAGAGCTCGAGGCGCTCAACGAAAACCTGCATGGCATGGAGCAGGCACAGACGGCTCTCCAATCTGCTCTTGAGGCGAAGAACGCGGCGTTCGAGCAGCTCGATGCACGTTTCCGAGAGACTGAGCAGGAGCTCGCGAAGGTTAGGGAGGAAAGAGACAGTAAGGTGGGAGAGCTCGAGCAGGTTAATGCTCACCTGCAGGCATCGGAGGAGGAGCTTGCGAAGACCCGCGAGGAAAAGGATGCAACCGTTATCGGAATGCAAGAATTGACCACCCGTTTGCAAACGACAGAGGATGAGCTCTCGAAGGCGCGGGCGCAGCTCGAAGAGAGCTCTAATGAGCTCGAGCAGCTGCGTGTACGCACGCATGCAGTCGAGGAGGAATTCGCTGATGCCCGGTCCGCTCTGGAGGCGAAGAATGCCGAACTGGAGCAGCTCAACTCGCGACTACAGACTGCAGAGGGAGAGCTCGATGCTGTCCGGCAAGAGAAAGACGCCAAGATAGCCGAGTTTGAGGCTCTTGTGGTGAAGCTGCAGGCGACAGAGGAAGCACGAGCCAACGTCCAATCTAGCCTCGACTCTAAGAATGCTGAGCTTGAACAGCTCGGCGCGCGTCTCCAATCATCTGCAGATGAGCTCGCAAATGCTCAATCAGCCTTGGAGTCGAAGAACGCGGAACTCGAGCAACTCAGTGCTCGCCTCCAGTCGTCCGAGGAAGGACGAGCCAACGTGCAATCTGCCCTCGACACCAATTCTGCGGAATTGCAGGGGCTCAGCGCTCGTCTGGAGACCTCCGAGCGGGAACACGCAAGCGCTAAAGAGGAACGGGATATAAAGGTTGGCGAGCTAGAGATCGCGATCGCAGGCCTCTCCGCGCGCCAAGGGGAGCTGCAGGGTGAACTTAGTGAAGCCCAGGATGCCCTTCAGACAAGCAAGCACCAGTTTGAGGATGCGCAGGCCGAGCTCGCGGCGAAAAAGGATGAGTTGGATGATGTGAAGACCAAGTTGCATACCAGCCAGGAGGAACTGGAGCAGACGAGATCGCAGCTCCAGGATAAGACAGACGAGGTCAACGCTCTCGGCGCTCAGCTCGAAACGGTGCAGAGCGAACTGTCTCAGGCCAGGTCGGAGAAAGACGCGAAGGATACCGAGGTGCAAGAGCTGAATAGCAAGCTTGACTCCCTCAATGCTACTGTGGAGACGTTGAGCGGTGAGAGCGCTGAACGAACTGTTAGGGCTGAGCAGCTCGAGCAAGAGCTCCAGGCCGCGAAGGATGGCCATGCCAAATTGCAGTCCGAGTTCGAGCAGACCTCGACTCACGTGCAGGACCTGGAGGCACAGCTGGCGAAAGCGCATGAGGAGGTCAGCGCGAAGACGAGCGAGCTCGAGGGCCTTGCAGTAGCTTCTGCGGCACTTCAGGCGCAGAACGAGGAGCGATCTACGAGGATAGAGGAGTTGGAGCAACAGACACACGCTGCTAAGGCAACGTGCGAACAACTCGACAACGAGCAAAAGCAGACCGCGGCTCGTGTGCAGGAGCTCGAGGCAGAGCTGCAAAAGCACACTGAAGCCCTTGACAAGGCTCAAGAGACCATCGCAGTCAAAGCGGCCGAGATCGATGATCTAAATGCCCGCTTGCAGACATCCTCTACGGCCTTTGCGACAACTCTGACTGAGCACGACCGGAAGTCCGCATATATTCAAGAGCTCGAGCGACAACTCTCAGACGTTCGTGAGGAGAAGCACAAGCTCGAAGACGAACGCCAGACAGTCGAATCTCACGTCCATGACCTGGAAGGACAATTGGAGCGTCAGAATGCACGTATCGCCGAGATGGATGCGAGAGCTGCTGAGTTGGAGAGCCTTTCAGCTCGAGGCCAGGCGGAGAAGGATGGCCTTGCAGACAAGATCCGCGAGCTGGAGCAGCAGCTAACCGGAACGAAAGAGATCAGAGTCGAGCACGAGTCTGCAATACGTGACCTCGAAGCTCAGCTTGCAGCACGGAATGACGAAATCTTGCAGGCTCAATCGTCGAGCGCCGCTGACATCGAGGTGCTCAAAAACCGCTTGCAGGAGTCTTCTGCAGCACTCGAAGCGTCACGAGCTGTCGGTGAAGAGCGGACTGCCAAAATCAATGGTCTCCAGCAGGAGCTTCAGGAGAAGAGCGAGAAGACAGTGCAGGATGCGAAGGTGAGGATAATTGCTTGCTTTGCAGTGGCCCGATTTAATTGATCATCGCTTTGGTAGACACTCCAGACTCAGCATGAAGAGGAGATTCAAGCTTTGGAAGCTCAATTGTTCGCACTTAAGGCACAACATGAGAAACTAGCCGAAGCTGCGCACGCCAACGGCCATACCAATGGCCAACCCAACGGAACCGTCGCCATTATCGGAGAGCAAGGTGTTGCGCCCCGCGAAGGTCAGAATGGTACTGCAGGCACGGTGGACTTCCGGAGAGGTGGCGGACCTGTCAGTACGCTCGAGCTTCTCAGCTGGTGGGCGTCCCGTACCGTGGTTGCCTTTGGCGGTGGCACGTCGATCGCACTCGGAGCTGCAATGGTGCTTGCTGCGCCACTTTTCGGCCCTGTTGCAATGGTGACGGGCGGTATTGCCATGGTCTCACTCGGAATTGGGCACCTTAAGCATCCATGATAGAAGCGCGATGTATCGAGGCTCCTCTTACATGTTTCTTCATATATGCTCACCCGTATGTGAATACGTAATTGTACTGATCCACTAACTGTACCACCGCTCCCATTATATTGTTGTACGTACATAGAATACCATTATGGAGACTACTGGGACGCTATGCGATCGACTCCTTGTTTGACTTTTCCAAGAAGGCTCTTCACCCCATCTTTGAGCCCGTCTGCCTGCACGCTCACGCCCTCGTTGCTCGTCCTGTACACTCCGGTGCCTGCAGGGCCACCAAGACTCACATTCACTCCGCCTAGATTCAAGTTCAGCGATGGCATGTTGGTACTTGAAGTCCCTGGCGGGGGTTCGTACACGGATGCGGGGAAGTTCGTCGCGGCAGAACGAATCATCTCGACGAAGCTGTTTTGCAGGAGGCAACACATGAGAACTGCAAAACAGCAACCAGACGCAGTAAAACTGACCTTGACGAATTATGGATACATGTCCCGCCGAGAAGTAGGCGTACGCCAGCCGTGGACGAACCGCTCTGGGCGGACTCCTGGTTCAGCAATGCGACGGCCCGCGCCTCGGTGTACGTCGTGCCGCCAATCATGAAGATGATAACGTCTTGCGGTCTGACACGCACAATTCAACGTTAAAGCACATCGCGATACGGACACTAGGTTGGTACGCACCGTTGCAAACTTGCGTTCGGCCCCCCTCCATCGAGGAATGGGTAGCTGGTATCGCGCAGGCGGCCCTTGAACAGGTCTTCCAGTGTCTCGGCGAGATGCGGCTGATGCTGCATGTAGACGTTCTCCACGCCCTTCAAGCCCTTCAAAGCTGACCGACCCTTTGCAAAGAGCGACTCGGCCGAGAAAAGGTCGTCTTGGCGCTGGTCCGAGCCGGCAATATTGAGGATGACGTATACAAGCTGTACGGCAGGTCAAGGATTGTTATTCGACGACGTTGATGTCTGGACGTACTCGAGCATCTTCGCGCTGCACTCCGTTCTCCAACATGAGATTGATAAGCGAGGCCACGTTGTGTGGTTGCGATTTCTGGTATCGTAGCGCGTAGAGGATGACGAGACGGAGCTTGTTCCATGGTTGAATGAGTGGGTTTGCGATGAGTGCTTGTACGCTCTACTCCGCCGCCAAGTCAATACCACGCAGCTGAATGCGCCCTACCACACGTACCTTCAGATCCGCGCCCGATCCCGTCGCCAGTCCCTGTTCTACCTCGCCTACGTCGAGCAGCCGGTCCCGCTCGACGACCCTGCTCAGCTCGCCTACGATCGCAACGTGCTTGCTCACGTTCCCGCTGAGTTTGCGGAACTCGGGATACTCTTCCACGAATCGTTTCATGTCACTAATTGAGTTGATCGCCTTGGGGTCATGTGCGAGCGAGTGAGACTGGTACGACTGCACGTATGCCTTAAGCGACGTGCCGAGGTCGCCGAACGTCGCGAGGTGGTGTGCCTGGAAGAAGGGGTCGGTGGCGGTCGTGAGGGTTACTTCCTGCGGAAATGAGCATTGACTACGATAGGTTCAATGGTGGAGAATTGATGTCTACCTTCAGTTCGGGTCTGATGTCGGGAACGAGGCTGAGATCCACCCGCCCATTCTGGATTCCGAGCATCTCATGAACCATGGCTTGGTATGTCCATGGCGAGAGCAGCGGTGTGACAGGGTCGTTCCGTCGGTCAAGGATGAGCAGCAGTGGTGGAACTTGCGTGAGCCGGAAGTCGAACAAGGTGGACTCGGTTTGTATCCGGTGCTGTAACACATGTCATGAAATCACCTTCTACATACCGCGTGAGACGTGTTCATCACGCACCTGGATCTCCACCCCCAACTTCTTCGCCATCGGGCTGGACTTCTCGTATCTGATCACTGGCTTCTTCTTCAAGCTCAGTAGTACGGCGGTGAGGCCCTGCACTGCGCGATCGAGGGCCTTCGGGTTCCAGGCATTCGGCGAGTTGCCATATAGAGGATGAGTTGTGCTTGGAGTGTGGTTGAGAGAGAAGAGAGAGGGGAGAATCGGGGCGTAGTCTGCAAAGTATTCCTTGGGTCTGTATCAGGTGTTACGCCTCCTGTGACATGGAACCGGCCTACCTGCACTTCCTTGACAACCTCATACTCATCTGCTTCTGCAAGGCGCTCGATGGAAGTCTTGGTCAGGACGTTGCTAAAATCTGAAGAAGAGAACATGAGCATGCGGCGGTTGAGAATTTGGACGAATGGCGACGGTCCACACACAGAGGTAGTATTCCCCATACTTTGGCTCGCGCAGCTCCGCCTCCAATGCCTCCAGGCTCTCTTCGCTGGCTTGCAGAAAGCATACGCACTTCATATGTGGCATACTGTCACGATTCTTGTTGTCAATCTTGTCGGTGAGATATACTTGGTGTGAGAGGAGAGTGGACTGAGTGGAAGCAAGGGATACAATCGGAGTCTATCATTGATATAGCTTCAGAGATTACGACGTCAATTCTTCAGCATCGATCCTGCTCACTGTGTGTCCATCAAGCAATAGGACCTTCATTGTTGGTGGCACGGATATCAGTTTCGTAACATAGGTCTCCACTGCCTTTACGACGTCCATGATGGGCGCATGCAACCAGGAGCCGAAAAAAGTTTGAGATTTCAGCGATCGTCACGGCCAGATGTCCAGACGCGATGAAAACGTTGCGCAGAGCCGCTACCGCCTGCCGGTGGTTCAATACGCGTAAGTTTGTCGTTCGTAGTAGCTGCCACGAAGATGCCGGTCAGAGTATCTTGGTGGAATTCGGAAATATAAAAGGCTGAATGGATGAGAAATGCAAGTTAATGAAAAAAGAGTCAAAAATGGGGAAGGCAGGAGTTGCACGGTGTTGGAGGCTGTGAGATGCTGCGAGCCGCCGCAGCGTCACACTTGGTGATCTCGATCTCGATCGCGGCCACATCAAAATGTACTCAAAACATTCGTCCGTCTCGTAAACAGCCGCTAGTACTGTCATTATCGACCACGAAAATTCAATAAAAATGACAACTGCGGCAGAAATCTAAAGACACGTATTTGTTCATCGCCTCAGGTCCATCGACGGGGTCAGAAATAAAGACTCCGAGCTACTCCGAGTCTACTCATATCTGGCTCGGAAGTCAGCTTTTGGAACAGTCATCTCGACAAATACACGCTCAAGAAAAAGAAATTGGACAGTCATTCCTCTCATTCAGAGCTTTGTGGGTCAAAGGCAAGTGCAGGTTACTACCATCTCAAATCTCGAGATACTAGCGGGCGCATTGAAGCCGTTATGAACGAAGCTTGATCTGTTCAGGTCAAATCCGCTTCCAGTAAACACAACTCAAAACGCCACGTACGTGTGTACATATCAGCGCCTTGTCAGTACACTGGTTCATTTGATTAGCTGGCTGTTGCTCATGACCTATTTGGCCGATTCCTAAGTGGGGCGTTGGAGGTAGATCGGATGGCCCATTCAACTTACCTTGGCATCTCAATCATGGAGCCACGAAGAATGTCGCAAACGCGAACATAGCAGAGCTTTCCGATAGGATATCCGACAGAATATTGTGTGGAGAACCCGTTAAGTGTGCACAATGTGCTATACAGAGTGGGGAAGAAAAGTGCATCGACTGATGAAGCAAAGCCTTTTAAGAACGCCACGAGACGAAATCGCAGTTTCCAGAGTAACATCACAGCGTCGTCGCATTCGGCTGCAGAAATATTACGGATGTAGCTCCCGGGTTTGAGTGGGATCCTTGAGAGCATTCTCATATGCCGAGATCAATTGTAAAGTATCTGCCAGCTTCGTCGATAGTAAATCGCAAGATTTCAGCGCATTCTTGACTTTTCGGATGTAATCGCTGACGGCGACAGCAATCGTACTGATGGTAAGAAGATAGCCATGGGGAGAGCGTCAACTGTTGGCTGTACCGCCGACTTACGGTAACAATGGATAAGCTTCGGAGCTGTCAACATTGTCATCGACCGTACCTTCAGTGAGCACGCGTTTCCTTCGCTTTGCTAACGAAACCTTGTTCTGATATTGTTGATTCTCCAAGCAGTGGGTGGGGGCTCATCCGATGTGTGTACAGGCACATTGCCTGACTCGGCCACCAATTGTATTGCACTGAACCTTCCCATTGTCTTGATTTCTCAGAAATTAGCCAAAAAAGTCAGGATGCATGCAGGAGAGGAGACAGCCAAAAAGTCCATCGAATCACTCGAGTCGTCAGAAATGGAGCAGCGCTCTCAGACCAAAGGCGATGGCCGTCAGCCACAAGCGCGTCAATTGTGGATCCACGTGACATAAACTTAGCATGGCCACCGCCGAGCGCTTGTCTGCTCGTAGATTCAGCCTATGACTTTTGATTGTACTGTCAAAGCTTCAAGCTCGAGTTCAGGGTCGAACATTCACTAGCATTACTCCGACTCCATATTCCCAAGAGTTTCATGTTAGGCATCCAGTAGCCGTAAAAGGTAGTGCGTGAGCGGCGAAACGGTGCGAGACGCTATGTGCTGGTGTACACTGCATGTTGAGGTCAGTCACTAATCGTAACATTTCCGGCAGGTATTCCCGAAGCGGGTTGTCCTCGAGGAAAAGATGCAGTGCATTTAGCAGCAGCGCATGGTCATTCGCCATTTCCGCCTCCGCATCCTCGTCCTCCACAGAACTCAGCTGCTCTCTCTCCACCGTCATCCTGGCAGTCACGGCTCTCGCAACAAAACGCTGTGCTTTTGATGTTACACTGCTTGTACCGTGCCACTGCAGCGTTTCCAGGTCGAGTTTGCCCGAGTCGAGTGCCGCAGCGAGAATATAAATGTAGGCGTAATCATTGTCATCCCAATCGGCGATTGGTGTGCGATCGTAGAATACTGATGAAAGAGCGTCGGCCACGAATCTGACCGCTTTGGATTGATTGACGGGGTTATGAGGGGGAGGTGGTATGAAGGTCGTCGTTGGTTCTTCCTTCCCACTGGCGCTGTATACCGTGAATCTCTGGAACCCCAGCGCTTCCAGCGAGTCAACGAAACTCTTGAACGGCATCTCAACTGCGGGCGGCCCATGATCGTTCATCGCTTGAAGATCCTCCGCGATGGCTGCAGTTTTCGGTAGGACCCAGGTGTCCGAAACACTCCAATTTTGGTGCAAGGCGTCGAAAAGGGACACCCCTCCGGATCCTGACACATCATTCGGGGTTTAGGCACGCTTGCACTATCAGAAACGCATGCATACCGATCATGACGTTATCATTGTCTCCAACGTCAAAGTCAATGCCTTTGCGGACACCACGCAGTCTTGGAGAGTTGGTGTCTCCCAAGCGATACAGGTTAGGCCTTGACATGTCGTGTCGGAAGAGCGGAAGAGGCCTACAGTAAATTTGTCGTGGAGCACGGCAACTGAAATCGTAAGCCCAATTGCAATCTACGCTAATTGCGGCCCACTCACTGACGCGCTCGATAGACGGGCGGTACGTGCCAGCGCGTGGTCCGGAGCTCCCGCTGCCATGTGCAGCCAGCGCTATTGGGTAACCTGGAGTCGGCTTTAATTCTGTCCCTGAACCTTTTCTACAGTATGAAGCGTTCCACAGATTCTGGCAACCCTAAAACTCCTCCACATGCAGAAGATAAGACTACATATAGAGCTCTCCATAACATGTCAAGGGAAACATCACAATCTATGTTAATGTGGCCACCTCCGAGGGATCGGAAATAAGCATGCGACCTTCATGGCGCCGACGCTCTTTTGTGGCCATGAACCGATCACTTTCTGACACCTTGCTCTTCCCTTGCTTTGTCCTTCGGCATGTAAAGCATTCCGACGAAATTAACCGCATTGGGCGACCGGCATCGGACACTTGCGGATATCGCCCACCTCACTGCGACCAGATGGGCATCAATTTCACCTCAAGCGTGAATTGCGCGATGAAAATCGCAGCTTTATGTGATGTTATTGCGATTTTTTGCTGGGGGAGTATTGCTTCGTCGACAGCATCCTGTCATCAAGACTGCGTAGTTAATCGGCGAACTTTCCTTCAAAGTGTGCAACCTGTTGGTATAAGGATATCCAACCACTCTCGGCCACTCTGGAACTCACGTTCCCTCATGATGGATCATACGCTTGCCGATCATTCGGTGGAGTACCGAAGTGGAAGGAACCTGCTCGGCGTCTCCCAGGACACCAACATAATCAAGAGGGGTGCGCCACACCTTGCGGTCTAGCTGAAGTGTGCGGTTTGCGGTGTATGCATACGTTGTCAGTGGTACAGGATGGGCCTCACATTATGGATGCTGCGTATGGACACCTCCCCTCCTGCGCAGAACGTGCGAGCGTGCACGATGAAGGTTGGCGCGACGGCTATATGGTATATAGGCGTACTTTCGGCACATCTAAGCTTCATCTGCGTTCCTCAGAAGGATTCCAAGCTAAGATCGTTGACACATCCCACCTTAGGCATGTCTTTAACCTTCTTTCGTCAATCCGAGTTTACATTCAGCCATCTTCAGTGCGCCATGTCGACAATGCCCGCCTGCTGTTGGGAAACTTGTACAGCCGTCCTTGACGACGTTACACCAGCCGGAATAACCCGCCATCTTAAAGATCGACACTTGGATACGTGGAAGGCCCACCAAGTCGGGCGCTGCAGGTGGCGGGTGCCCAATGGCGTGCCGGCCAACCACGGATTGTGCAACAGAGACATGAAATATGCGAGCTTTGGCAAACACATCGCATCTGTGCATCTGAAGTCAACCGTGCGCTTCTGCATGAAGTGCAACATGGTGTTCTCGAGGCCCGATGCGCTGGTCAGGCATTGGAACACCACTTGTGATGAGATGCATAATGGCTCAGCATGAGAGTGCTCTCTAGTGATGCGTCCAAGGTAAGTTTTCATGAATGTCAGAAAAGTAGGGATCGTTCGCTTAAGTCGCATATTCCAGCGTCCAGACGTCGGTACTTTGAACTTTGATACAGTCTTTAGCATCCGATGTTTTCATCTTTGGGTCATGACCCTAGTTCTCGAGGATTACATTCTGTTTTTCTGTTTCATTTGTCGGGTAGGCTGGCCCTGCCCTTGCCTGCATCAGGAATTCCATGTAGTGATTCGCACATCTCTCTTCAGAATGCCGAATTTGAATATGAGTATATGAATCCGCAAGATCGGCTTTCGGCGATGCCTGGCAATGAGCGCGTGCAGCATCGGGCAACCACCATGGCCCCTTGGTGGCCGAAACTAAACCGAAGCAAGCTTACCACCTAGATGGAGCGTATGAGAGTCTACTATAGCCTCGTCGTTCCATGCCACGTCCGCCACCCGGTGCTTTCTAGCGCTAATTATCGAACGCGATTCTCGTAACTGTTTGATCCGTTGAGTCACGAGCGCCTCCGTGGCAGAGGAGCTTGAGCGCTTTGCCGAGTCGAAAACTCGCTTGTATGTCTCTGCGTACTATTGGGCACTCAGTAACGGTATTCCATGGGATGACCGGCACCACTTTGACCTGAAATGTCCGTCTTTTGAATGCTTGTTCTGGTACAATACGATACTGACCAACGGCCCAGAGACTCAGCATATGCTCGCTAATTGAGAGAGCAAAAGATGCCTGGTCCGTATTACGTGTGGCAGGCGTGCGCTAGACCCACCTCTTAATGTCGCATTGATATCCTTTTGTAAGGAGGGAATTCCCCTTGACACCATCCCCGCACCTGGAGCTTCTGAACACGGCACGCTGTAACGTGATAACTTAGGCAGTACAGGCGCCACTGAAGGGCTTCCCGCCGATTACGGCTGAGGCACCGTCATCGCAGTGCAATCCGCTGTAGATCAACATTTTGGGCCTTCACCGGCTTGTGGCCTGCGATCACGGGCTCAATGAGTCTGGAGAATGACTCTTCGCTCGCAATATGCCGTCTGACTACGAGCATCGTGCCTAATGAAGGTACTAGTATGATGTATCTAGGTGGCGCGTTACGTATATCTCTCTCCGGGCATCATAACTATGCCGACAAGCTTGGACTATGTTCTGTTGGAAGGTGTCTGGATGAAGGTGCATCCAGACGTTGACACCACTCACATGGATGCGCTGATCGCGAGGTGGTCAGCTCAGCGATATGTTCATGAATGGTCTGGGCACGGCAGAGCACATATATAATCGACTTGTCGGTGAGCCCTTAAGTCCATCCACAGACCCCACACAACTCCGTACGTTAAAGTACCTCCTTCTGCGACCTCTGGAGCTGATACAATATCTTGCGACCTAAGGTCCACATTTAGCACATGGCAAATCCGGCTCCAGTATTCTATATTTGCCTCTGGGGGAACCAATGTGGCCAGGTTCTCCAAGACGTCTCCGCGGGGGGCATCACGCGCCATCTCAAGGACCAGCACTTTCGTGATGCATGGAGTGCACGTTCCAGGACGCTTTGCCAATGGCAGATCCATCCCGGACAGCCCGCGCACAACCATGGTGGAGTCTGCAACAGAGAGCTGCAGTACGCGAGCTTAGGCAAGCATATCGCAGCCACCCATATGTTTACTTCAAGGGTTCACTGCCCGAAATGCCGCACAAAGTTTTCGCGCATGGATGCGTTCTACAGGCACGTCAACACGGGAATATGCCTTGGTCCTGGTGAAGACATCAATTTGTATGCATGATGCGCTTCAGGGTCAATACAACTCTGCGCATGGTGCGTAATATTCATATACTATCTATCGGCGAATATGCCGACGAATATGCATCATTAGAAAGTGCGAACAAGTCGATGAGACATATTTTACCCTCTGCATCACCGTATATTCTCCATCGACTAGCCCCGACTTGCATATGATTTGATATCATACTGGTGGCCATTTTACATACCTGCATTTGCCGTGTCGGCATGATACAGTGTATCGCCTTGTATATGTCAAAACCCATTCTTTTACGTGCTGGTCACATCGCTCGACATCAGCAAAGCCAAGCACTGCGACATTGTCGTCATGATGGTCATGATGCACACGCAGGAACATTGACGCAACAGTTCTTCTCGACAGGCTCACTTTCTTCAGCGTCATGAGAGGGCCGCGAGCAATCACAGCTCCTTCAGGGTTTCCGGGTGCGTTTCGTGGCCATTCATATTCAGCAACATCAGGACTTATGACAGCAATACCGACGAAAACAATATCATGGTCAATATGCGAAGACGCCCCATGCTGCAGCGTGACTAGGTTGCTTGCGGGATATGAAAACGGTTAGATTAGGAAGAGAAATGAAGGAGCAATCGTATGAGCGGCAAGCATGGTCGAATTACAGACGTACTCAGTCAATGTCCGTCCAGCTACATTCACGTGATGATAAATGTCTTATTGGCGAATCGTATGTAAGGCGCCGGGGCAACTTGAATTGCGCACACCATTGGATATCATCTTTGAGCGCAGCGCAGTGGGAGGCTACATTTACGCCCACGATCGCCAGATGGGAGGCATTCAAATAAGCCTCGCCACAGAGCATGTTCGCCGAGATCTGCATCGTGAAGTTCCACGACGGGTCTAAATCTCGGACTCGGGCGTGGGATTGTAGAAGCCGACATCGAATCCGAGCTCCTGAGTAGTGTCAAAGGCAACCCACTGGCAACCCACTGGCAATCGCTGACATAGCTCGCGCAGGAAATGATGCCGATAGAGAGACCGACTTCGCTCGAGCCAATGAGCCAGTCCTAGCACAGGACATATTAATTAAGAGATCGACATCTAAATTGTCAGGAAGGCTTTCAGATATACCGGCTTACCAATCACACAGTGATGCCGCCTCCCCTGTTCACAGTCCTCTTGGGTGCGGGCAGATGCTCCGAGAACACGTAGCTCGAATGATGAGAGACCTGACAGAAAATCATTGTGTAAAGAAGAATTAGTGAACAAGTAGTGGTCTTCGAAGCGGACGCTGATAGAATTAGTTTAGTGCGGCGATTTGATTCGGGTAATACGGTCTTACATAAAGACCAACAAAGGCCGACATCGACCGGTGGTGTAGAGGGACGCATGCATTCGTTGATTCCGCGGATAAGTACTAGCATCGCATTGCGTCGCAGCCAAGAGTACTAGTAGCTTAGTCATTATGGCAGAGAATACAGACCGTATCGTTCCCAACGATCCTCTCCAGCATATGAGAGGCTGGAGATAGTCAACCGGATATCAAAAAAGTCCTTTAACTTAACTTCAAGGTCTATCGTTTATGTTGGGCCTGCCAGAAGATTGCCGTAGAACCCTGTCAGCCGAAGGTCTTTTAGCGCTAGCTGCAACGGCTTATACCATCACTTGATTGCTGTATCAAAGTCTGGTGAAGCCGACTTACAGTACCTTCCTTAGCTCACAGGATCATTGTGCGAGTGATCATGCAGAGTGAAGCATAGTGATGGTAGCTTTGTAATATGAGCTCGCCGAAGTTGAAGTCAGAGGCCCTGAGTGTCACGAAATTGTGGCTGAGCACTGGGCTTGTTAGGCGCCGAACGACCTTGAGCAGCCGAACTGGACGAGCACTTCGCAACTGTATTCATTCATTCTTTCGACCTGCAAGCATTATCATATCCCAGATGTACTCGTGATAATTGCCTTAGGTCATCAGTTATAATATCTACCTTCGGCTCTGTAACGTCGACAACCGTGGCATACGATACCAACTTATGCATGACCGGACTGGTCGTCCACGAAATTCGTCGAAGTCCTGCATGTTGTGGGTATGTGCGCATAAGCATACATTGTTATACTGTGAGTCTTTGCATTATCGCTGAGGTGCTACAGAGCTAGATGATTAGTTCGCGACACTGGCAGAATTATGCTAGGGTGCCGTAGAATAATGTACTAGTGCCATCCACAGTAGGCAGGGAACACATGACAGAGAAGGCCTTCCATATAGTGATATATACATATCTGACGGGTTTTAATGCTGTTCAGCTCTCAGGCGTTTACCGAAGGTCCTGGAGACCTCCTTTACGCCGGAGCGCTGATGGCCGAATGACTGCGAAGAATATCACCAGACAGATATATACTGACTGGAAGCAGCTATCCCTGCCTTATACGTGTCTTTGTATTCAGATAGAAGGTGTCCAGTTCCTATGAAAGTTTGCATGCACGTTGCAACGACCTATCCCCATCGCATATTCTCGTCTACGAACTTCGTTGTCTCCGATTAAGACAGGATCAGTGGTCAGTGGCTCCATGCAATTCTCGTCGATTTCATATTCTCACATCCTCTTCTGTAGATGTAGGCAACCGGCCCCACTCACATGTTCGTCGATACTTAATTGGACAAAGTCTTCGGACTGTGCGACCACCACGTTCTGATACCACAGATGTTGGTGTCAAGTTTGAACCACACATCTGCTTCCTCAGACTACTGACCTCCCTTTATCTGTAAGCGATCAAGTTTGTCATATGCCCATTTGTCACGGCCGTCCTAGGATACCCTCTTGAAACTGCACCCGACAGTCAACTCTCGGCGTTCCACGCTAATAATCTAACCGATATATTTTCGAAGCTTTTTTACCGACCTTCTATGCGAGATTTATATTCCTCGCCTCAAATCGCGGTCATCACATGTCTACACAAACGCAGACATCAGTCGCTCTCCGACGTCGATTCTATCGGATGGACTCTGAAGCGTCACTGCCAGTCAGCTCGCAATCCAGATGCTGCAATGTTTGTCTCCTATGCTCCCGCGACAATATGGCGTGCTCACTTTTGATGTTTCCCATTGAAGGTCGATACGACAAGTTTCTGGCAAGGCGTCAGCCCTTTTACACCACACTTCTATGACAGATACACGGCATCCATCTGTCTCGCGGTCTCCTGCCCGTTGCTTCTATTGAGGTACTTCTCACGTAACGGTGATGGGACAGGGAACTGTCTCATTGTACTCAGAAGTCGGTGAAGCTGCATCCACAAGAGGCGCTGAAACTAGGTTGACGAATTATGGGATTGGAATATTGACGCTCGACATCTCGATTGAATGTGCCTTGTAGCTATCCGCAAGTTTATGTCGCCGGACATCTCTGAAACAGTGATTAGTCGTCATTTTCGAGACGATCACTGCTACGCCCCGCTACTGTGGAATGTCCGGTGCAGGCATAGACATGAGATACACTGACACCAGACCCGGAGTTTCTCTTCGTCCATATTCTCATATCTGCACTACTTGTGGCATCGCGATTAAGGCTCCAACATTTCTATCTATTTACTATGTTACATAGTTTTAACTGTTTACTATATCTGTTTATTTACAGTTGGGCCTGTACATAGTAAATGAATGTATATATATAGTATAAATAGTTTTATGATGATATAGGGCTATTGAGTGCACAATTGCTAGATTTGACAGCACAACAGTGAGCCAATTGAAAGTCATAGTGTTCAAAAGCAGTCACCACTGACAGTTTATCATCATATAGGCTCATGAACATGAGTTTCTTGTCATTTCTTGTATGACATAAGATTTTCTGGTCATTTCTGGTGCAAGTGTTGACATTGAATGCTTGTTTTCTGCTCACTGTCATGTGCTTGCTGATGCAAACAGGTCCTTAAAGGCCTCAAAAATCACAGAAGCTGCTCACAGTTGAGTAAAACTCCATCAAAAGATGGGACCAAAAAAACTATATAAACTTTATATAAACTGTTTATATGACATATAGATAACTGTTTACTATATACTATTTATTTACATCTCAGGAGTGTAAATAGTATAAATAGTTGGAGCCTTAATCGCGATGCTTCATACCTCGGTCTTGTCAACAGATTCTGATGGGCTGGAATGCAGACTCCCAAGGCAATAGAAAACCCGGGTCCTCGTTGAATAGTTGCCACTTCGGTGCGTTTCATTCCCAAGACACACACCAGCATACATTTCCAGATCAGGTTCTCCTACGCCTTGCAGCCGCAAGCGCTGTCCATAGCATCCTCGGTTTCCGGTGATATCAAGACACGACAATCGATTCCTTTGAGACCCATCACATGCACGGCGTCAGCTGTACCACTTGCTATTGGCGTGTGTATACTCTCGCATTTTAATTCTGATCTCTAGCTATCGGTTCATGCAGGTATAAAAGGCCGGTTGCTCAAGACAGGACAACAACGGCGCACTTGTCGCAATCCTCTCAGCGTCATCATTGCATATAACAAGTATCTTCTCAATCCAACAATGAACATTGCCGATCTCAGGACGAACGTATGCTACAACACAATCTTCGAATGCCCCAATGGAGATGAACTTGAACGTGAGTAGCTCGTACACCCCTCCCATGTATTAATCATACAAATATTTCCTCACAGGCTTGAATGAATGGATTGGAAAGCACGTCATTAACAAGGACACAGTGGGAAGTGTCAAATGCAGTGCGAAGCGCGACAAAATCTTCCAGTATGTGTTCAACGGTGTCATTCAAGTACGTCATAAATATCCCTGCTCTCCGCGAGAGGTATTCTGTTCATATATTGATCGTTTCAATCACACAGATCGATGGCTGGATGAACAGCGAGAGTACCATTGGAGTGGTGCATGCACAGCTTAGGTTGCCCTTGTATCAAGGAATCATTTCGCTCGGCACCGTGAGCGGCTGCATGAAAGACAGCGTCTCGATGTTCGTTTGTCTGCAGCCGCTAGCGCAAGGGTGTCTAAGGTTCTATGTCAAGGACGGAAGCGACTTGGTCGTGCGTCTGGATGTAACGACTAAACTGGGCGATGTGTTCAGGGATGTCACCTTGTTTAAGATTTGACGGAGTTTCGCGATACGTACCTACCGAGCAGTGTTGTAGTACAAGCCCATGGTAATCATAACAGCACGGAGCTAGTATGCATCCAAGCGATAACAATGCGGCAATCCTTCAAATGTACAGTAAATTGAGATCAGCCGCTTGTCTCTCTCGGAAGTTCATGACAATTCAGGGGAGGCGGTAATGTAAGAAGGAACGTGATGCTCGGATCCATTCAAACAAAGGAACGATTTGGCCAAAGGTGAGGTAGGGAGGCGATACGTCGAATGATAATCCAATGAGACATATGGCTGCGAAGATACAGCGCGGATAGTATGCGGACGACATCAAACCACAGAAGGTGTCTAACAGCAGCAGGTTGAGGCGTCCGGAGCTGTGGACCCAATTCTACAGCCTGCTGCCTGGAAGAAATGAGTGACACAGACTGACAAAAACATCCCTTGATATTTGGTAAGAATTCTAGGAATAGTAGGGGTCAACTAGTACTCTGGAGGTGCGGTATTTTCCATAAGTAACTCAGAGTGCCAAAGTAGTACTACAACCTATCTGGGCGCTGCGAAACACGTTCTCGGCCATGATGTCCGAGTCCAACATGTCAGTTCTGACTGACTTCTCGAGCCTTCTTGCGAGACACTCTGCGTTCTCGAGATCCGTGATGGATGCTGATGATGGACTCCAAGTCGGAGTCAGCTCCGGAACCTCGAGAACTCCCTAACTTAAGCAAGGGTCACCGAGAAATCGAACCAGATTAGCACTGGACGCAATGCGAAATGCATACGCATACTATATCAGAAGACATTAGAAGAAACAGCTGAGAATTACTACTAGGTCGTTTGTACGCCGCCTTGGTGACTATGATCATCAAGCTACAAGGATATCGGGAGCGTTCGTGCGGAGGTTGAGGGAATTGTCTCGTCTGCCCACGGGAGACTACATCAAGACTACATCAAGCGCTCAGCGAAGCACAGCAGCTACTAGCCATATTGAGCCGTTAACCTGTTGGAGTTCGCTATAGCTATCCAAGCTGGTCAGCAACTGATGAATGTCCTGGTAATAGCTGCTCATATATACACCATTACTGGGCCCTATGGAAGTGGACGTGCTATGAGAATTCAGACTGTCACTAGTTTCGCTGAACTGTGCCAGCTTGTCGACATTCTTCCATGAAAGCGGGCTGTAGGTTCATTGACCGGGAGAATTCAATCACATTTGGAGTCGGCTGATCGTACAGACGGAATACAAGGAAGATCTACAAGTGTGCGTACTCTCGTAGAGGGTTCTCCGGATGATTAAGGTTCAGCGCCGACAGCAAGACCGCATGGTCGTTGTTCATATCCGCTTCCTCGTCCTCGTCCTTGTGGTCCTTGACCGCCTCCCTCTCTGTCTTCATTCTAGCAACCACTGCCTCTGCAATGAACCTCTGCTCCTTCGACGTCTCGCTCCCCGGGCCCTTCCACGCAACGTCATCTAACCCAAGCTTCCCTGAATCCAACGCAGTTGCAAGTACTCCAATGTAGGCGTAGTCGTTCTCGTCCCAGTCAGCAATGGGCGTGCGATCGTGATGCACGGCCGATAGAGCATCTACAACGAACCGGACGCTCTTCGACTGATGGGTGGAGGCTGGGGGAGGAGGAACGAGGAAGGATTCTGCCATGAGGTCTTCCTTCAATCCGGTAAGCGCCTTATGACACATCGAGTTGAGAGGTTTCAAATAGTCGACATAGGCATTGAAGGACATCTCGGAAGCGGGCGCAATCAACCAGTGCGCTCCATGATCGTTCAGTGCTTTGAGATGCGATCCTATGTTTGCTGTTCCCGGCAAGATCCAAGTGCTCTGCGGCTTCCAGCCTTGCTGTGCAGCTGTAAACGTGGATACGCCTCCGCTCCCTGGGGCACACGGACATATTCAGTTGTTTTATTGCTCATACAAGAACTTTGGACGAACCTAGGATCACGTTGTCATTCTTGTCGACCTGGATATCTTTACCCTTACGAACATTATCAAATCTGGGAGAAGTAGTGTTTCCAGACCGATAAAGATTGGGCCGAGCCATAGTGCGGTAGAGGAGAGAGTATGGTCGCTTGGGTCTGCGTAATGTCCAGGCGAGCCGTGCATTTCTGCCACTCACGTAGCTCGCTTTAATATTGACGATACGGCGCTCAGGAGCTTTCTTCACGTTCACACGCAGACCGACGCTGACATAGGCTTTCTCGAACCACTTCGATGAATCTCCACAGAGGCAGCCCACATGACGATAGGTTCGGAAGCCGAATGATATACTGCGTGAAGCAAACCTCCTGGTAAGCGATATGCGTCGCCTTCTTCGTGCATGAGGCCTCTTTCATTCATCACAAGGACATCTATTTTCTTTTTCTTTTTCCATTTACGAGTTCTGTATGGAGGTCCGGATCCTCGCTCGGGACCATGCCGGAGATTGCCTACCTGATTCTCTATCAAGCCTACATAGGTTCCAACGCATTTCTTCCTACCGTGTGCTTCTCGTTGATGAAGAGTATGCTATGAAATGACTTATGAGATGAGTCGCTCACCGTAGGGCTGCCTCGCATGCCATGCATCCCCGAAGATGGCGTTGTACGTCATAGCAGACTCTAGGCATAAGTGATTGATATTCGTGACTTCCGCTCGTATGGCCTATTTCCTCATCACTATTTCAGGCGTCGAATTCGCTTGCTTTGTTGACGTTGAGCATACAGGAAATGAACAATCCGAGACTGTAATGGCCGGCTGAAAGACGGTGCAGAGTTGATCGACATTATGGGAAGTCAGCTTACATATGTGGTGTCGAGAATTATCAAGATCAAGGTTGCTTTCTCGAACGGAGTAAGTCCAATGCCCGGTCTACCACGTCGGAACACTCTTCGTCCCCCATGGGACCTCATCCAGTCTGACAGGTTGCGCAGCTGACCATGATTCCTCTATAGACAGAAATGCTTCTCGACCTGTCGGTCGATCTTCCATGCAGCGTATGAGACACCGAACACGTCCCAACTCGCTTCCTTCTCGACGCCCGGATGGCTGCGAGCAGAATACGAAGATGAGTGTATGGTACGTACTACGCACCTACGGCAACTACTAGTCGATAAAGGGAAATTTATCCATTTTAGCTTCATTATAGGCACCTATAGTCCAGTCCTACTGCCAGGAGACTGACGTCTTCTGGTAAGACATGTCTCCTACATTCCTATGACATAGATGGGGTAGGTCAATCGCACTATTGTCATGACGCAGCAGACAATGCGATCACAGAGTCCAAACGACCAAGCGCACGTTTGTTCAATGTCCCATATACAGACGACAATTTAGGGGTTCTTGGACAAGGTACTTTCAGTGCTGCCCGCAAATTACTGGCTGTTTGTCAAATTCACAGTCAAGATATGGCAGCACTGTACCTGCGACTAAGTCCACTTCGACGGCAAGGGAATCCTTGACCACATCAATCCGATGTGCAGCTCGACTGTCACTTGAGCGTGGGTGGCTCTGTTCTCGTGACAGCCTGACACGCCACTCGACCTTCAGATCCTTACCGGCGTGGTACAAGCCAACATCAGACCTGCAACAAAGCGTTCAAGTGCACCTTATTGATCCTATGGATCGGATCTTCCAAAAGCTGCGCGGTATGCATCGTGAGCTCTGTAAAGATTCTCATAGGTCATGGTTTTTATTGTGTTAGGTATAGATATACCACACAAAGCGCGATAGCGCTGGTTCCGACTTGGCACATTACACAAGTGTTCACCATCGTTGCTTCCGATTCAACGTATGCAGGTCGTAGTCCATATCAACGCGGGCCCATCAAGCATCATGGTTCTCCTATGCGATGATGGTAGTCTCGCTCACCGCTCGCATGTAGGCTCCGGTTCAGCCTGAGTGATGCGAATATTATCAGCATACTCGTTCCTGTTCTTGGCCGCCACCATCCTCACCCTTAGCAACCCTAGAACGGCTACCACCCTGTCCTTGGAGATGGTTTTCTGTCCTGTCTCGGTCTTCATATGCAGGAGGGAGAGTCTCCAGGTCGATATTGTTAGCATTCGCGACGGCGATACTGACGCCTGCGTCGATCTCTCGCCGTCGATACCGGTAGTCAAGATCAGAAGGCGTCGTCTCTGCAATGCAAAACATTAGTGTTCAGTCTCAGGTGTTAGATACGTATGCATGTTATTCACCAGGCAGGCAGGCTCTCGCGGACGTGCTGCTGGGCGTTCCTTCACTACCTGATGTATGTCTCCCCGACCCGACGATGTTCGGCAGCACCGCCCATTGTTCGGATGGCGAGAATGGCTGGGAGTCACTCCACGGTTCACTAGGCAACACTGCGGAAGACGATGCACCTATGCCCCTCGAAACCGTGGACAGACTAGGAACTGGCTGTGTTCCAGCAGCAGAATCTAGGACGTTGGCTTGTGATGGCAGAGAGCTGTCTCCGAATGCCTGCGACATGTCTGATCTCGCCAAGTCGATCATCAGCAAGCGTGTTGACAACACTGTAGAAGGCCATGTAGGATCACCTTGCCCGAACGTTCCCGAGCTACTGTCCCATTGTCCTCCAGTCTCTACGTAACCACTTGTCGTGGATGTGGGATGCGGCGGTCCGGAATGATGGCGATACCACCAAATAAACCAACCAATACAACCGAGGAAGGCCACTCCACCCGCTACGGATCCACCAACAATGGCACTTGTGGAAGAATTCCTCTTGCTCTCGCTCTCAGACGGGGAAGGAATGGGCTCCGACGAGATGCTCGCGCTGGTCGTTGTAGATGTATTGAATGATGGTGACGACAGTGGCAGTGATACTGAAGCAGACAGGAAAGATGAGATCGTAGTGGTATATGCGGTGGTAGTCGATGTGCTTGACACTGATGAAGAACCATCAAAACAGGAGGAATTCGTCCCAGGAACAACGGTATATGCGATGTCTATCAAGGCGATCATCCGTACGAGATTTAGCTGAGCAGATGCGGCACAACACACCAGAGGCGTGGAGTTGGTAGGTGTCTGCCATTCGAACATATGTGAAGCTGACGTTCTGGCCTGAAGGACAATGACCCGATCATCAATGCGACGTCCACATCCCAAAGTAAAGAATACGTTGATGCTGCACTACGTACCGACCGGAAGAGCCACAGGCCACAGGAGAAAAGTGCTGTTTATTTGGCCGAAATCGTGCAGAACGGGGTCGCCGGCATCGATCTCCCTGTTGGGTACTGCCCATAAATGCTGTTTATTGAGAGGATTTCTGTTAGCTGTATTCGCAGCTCGCCCGTATAGGCGATGGCACGCACGATTGGAGGCTGTGTGTAGCTCGCATCAGTTCTACAATCGCATCGAAGTCGAAATTCCAAGCAACACCTCTTCGGTCCAGATTAGGTCGACATCGCCGCACTGCGTGAGCGTCGAACCTGCTGGGGATACTGTGAAGGAGCCATGTACAACAGGTAGGACGGCGAGGAAAAGTGCCTGATACATTTCGTAAAACGGGACGAGGAGGATGGAGGGTGAGGTCAACGACGACGCTCGCATGCTAGCGCATTTTCAATCATGCTGCGGGGATCTCGTTTGGAACTGCATCGCTCTTACGGCCATTTTGATACTCAACTGAGGCTGAAAGTAGTGATTGACTGTGTCAATCTGTCAAGGTCATTGCTTCGTGGCGCGCAAAACCGGGGTCCTGCATAGCTTTGATTGGCAGGTCAAGTAAGTACACTGTTCAGACAGCTTGACACATTCGGATACATCATCGTCTGAAACATGTTGGCATATGAATCCACATCATGGCGCATAATAGTGAGCTGAGAATTGTATCCAACGAAGAGCTTGTTGCGACAAGCTGGGACAAATAAGTAGGGGGTTGAAACTATCATGGAGACTAGCTCGCTTCCGGAACGAACGCATTAATGCGCATGTACGCTCGAGCTCAAGTGGCGAGCCGAAGTATCAATATATCACGTCCAAGTTGCTTGTCCCGATCGGCTTATGTAACTCACTTTCCCGCGCATGCCGTCCTAAGGAGGCAATGCCCCGAGGACCGCCCCGTTGCCGTTGGTCAACGACCGGTAGTACGTGTCGCCTATACTCGGCCTCTGACCACGATGTCCAGTAGCACTGTGCGCCGCTTCTTCTTCTGTATTCCTCTTGATTTTACGCCAGCCCGTGCTCTTAATGCTCCTCCTGCGTCCACCTCAGCGATGTCCATCACCTCCCGTGATACTCATTAATCCGCTGTCCAGTGTCTGGCACTAGAACGTACCGTGCAAGCTGTCCGTTGTTCACTCAGGACTTCAGCTGTCGTATAACGACCGTCCGACATTCAAAAAGTCCTATGTATGTTTCGGCTGTGACCTATGGAAGAGAAGTTCTGGGCTATACCATAGCTGTTTCTCTCATACATACCGGTGAGTCGATATCATGTTGGCGATGGCCTGTCATGGAGTTGGCGAATGTTTGGGTTGGCTGGTGCGAAGATGATGGATGAAGCAGATTCTCGACGCGTTGCCTCGTGAAGGTATGCCGTCAGAGCTAGCACAAAGGAGAGACGTGGGATGGTTGTCGATGAGCTGGGCTGGCGCATTGACGCATGACAGCACGCGTTGCTAACTTCCACTCCGTCGTGCTTCACTCGTTCTTTCTGTGTTCACGTCGATCATTGCGCTATGAATTTCTTGAAACTTCCGCAATCAGTTCTTAAGCTCGCTCAGCGCTCAAGTTTCAGAGCTCGTTCATGGTGGACCGCAAGTCGCGGGCTCACCAATCGCATGAGGCTGCGGAGACGAATCTCATGGTGAACCTGAAGACTAGGACGATACATACTATCTTCTTGATTGTGCAGGGATCAATGTGTCACTGAGATGGCTATCTCGCTGCCATTTCTGGTAGATGACTAGCAGGGCCGACCCGCGATATTATTGTCTCTGGTCATGAGGGACATACGAATCGTTCGTGGATATGACCATTGTGCTACCACCTCAATGCGCATTCCTCATGTAGCAACGGATCGACACGAGACCCACGGACTGAAGAACGAACCATCGGGGTGCCATTCTCTTGAAGCGCGAAGCAGGCCCCAAATGAATGAGTTGCACGGACATATATTCGTAATTGAAGTCATGGGGCGGATTCAGTGTCATTGCGAAGAACGCAGCGTACCCGTAATAGAAGACGCGCGCTCCAGCCAGCCGAGCAGAACGCTAACGAGTTTCTCTACGTCAATCAGGAATGGCTACGGCTTATCCTGGAATGACAGATGTCATTCATGAGCTACAGCTTCGGGATCACGCGCGTATTGAGAGAGGCTATTACAGTCGGTGAGCTCCTGCTCCTTGACATATTCATTGAAGATGCTCAGCTGACAGTCAGACGGCCCAGGGAAGGCGTTCTAGTATTGTCTCTCGCAGCCCGGGTGCAGCTACTTCTTTGCGCACGCGGCGTCGCGCAGAAAGCATATAAGATCTCTGGATCATGAAGAAGCTGCACGGGTATCGAACTATCTCCCATTAACGCGTCTACCACATCTACAGAGGTGTACTGTCCTTCACAATGTCGGGGAAAATGCTGCTTGTTTTCTGCGACGGGACTGGCATGGATGGAAACTTGAGCAAAGGTAGACTTGCTGCTCCTTATGCTTGTTGATCCTGCCTGCTAATGCGGCTATTCACTCTATGACAAGATGGCGTTCTCAGAGGTTCCGCTGATCCGCAAAATGCCACGAATGTCATTCGGCTTTGTACGCTTTAGCTCTCCAGATGATGATGCCTTTTTGACGTCGGATATGCAGCGCGTGCCGTCAAGGATGTGTCTACGTACGGATAGCTTCGGTTTTACCTATACACTATAATCTGACTCACAGTGTATTTGATTTATCAGCGATGGTCGTCTCCAGATCGTCTTCTACCAGAGCGGCGTGGGCAGCGAGGCCGATTTCGATGGAGACCCGTTGACAGAAACGACCACAATGCGTATGTTTATCTACGTCTCGTCTTCCCAGTATAGCTGATTCGGTGCACTTGCAGAGGCTCTGGGAACAGCTGTGGGTCAGTCACACTGCATTCCCATATTCGCATTGGAAATAATTGTTCATTATGCTACATCTACCAGCGAGTAAGATCCGGGATGCATATGCGTTTATTGCGCAGAACTTTGAGGAAGGCGACGAGATATGCATCTTCGGGTGAGCGCTCAGGTTTTTGTTCTGCTGGCTTCACTGAGTAATTGCCTCCGCAGGTTCTCGAGGTAGCTTGTATTATTAAAATCATATCGTTATTTCCTGTTGATCCTGCTGCAGGGGTGCCTATACCGCGAGAAAGCTGTCTGGTCTCATTGCAAGTATTCCTCGGTACATATATTATGATGATATCAAAATCTAAGCGATCCATACCTTTAGGACAAGATCGGACTTCTCAAGCGTCAGAGTCTCGGGCATTTCTTCGAAATCTGGAAAGCGCTCAATGCCGGAAAGACGCCCGTCATACCTCCGGGAACTCGGAAGACGAATATCAAGTGAGCCACGAGCTCTTGCGACGTTCTAGTTCAACCTTCATTTTGTGCTCACGCTCCGATCCCGCAGATGTGTTGGCGTCTGGGACACGGTCGGTTCTGTCTACAACCAGATTGATGCCCTTAGCATCAAGGATACAGACCTCCCAGCCACCATTGACGTTGCGCTGCATGCCCTGTCATTGCAGGAGAATAGAAAGAAATTCCTCCCCACGAAGTGGACGATCCCGGCCCGCGGCCTTGCCCTTCGTGGGTCGAACAGTACTCAAGTCTTCAAGCAGGTGAATAGAGCACACTCCATCTACAAACCGTGTTTCCGCATTGCTTACTCCAGCCCGCAGATATGGTTCCCTGGAGCTCACTCTGATGTCGGCGGAGGATATGATCGGCACGAGCTTGCTGATATCGCCCTCTATTGGATGGCCGTGAGCTATTTTACCTTTTCTCGTTTCATCCATCGTCGAACCCTCAAATTTTCATAGGGAGAAATCAGCTCGTTCATAAATCTAGACCTCGACTTCCTCCGACAGACCGCGCAGCAGAAGCCGGAGCCGTGGGGAACCTCGCAGCCGCACAACGCATACGAAGAACTCAGTTATGCCATGCAGGTAATCATAGGGGTCGAAACTCGCCTCCAAAGTGGAGACATCACGAGTGGAGATGCGTTCCACCAAAGCGTGCTCTTCGCGCCGACCCAGCTCACTGAGCCGAAGCACATGGTCACTCTGGATAGTTTGAAAAAGGCGTTCGGTGCGGACTGGTCTCCGTCCTGCCCCGATTTGAACGAGTTTGAGCAGCTCTGCAAGGATAAATGGGGAACGTTACCGGTGCGTGTTTTAATGTGTCTTGTACGGTCCGCGAATTTGCTGCTCATGCGAGCTCGACCTCATCCAGCGTCTCGCCGCCGGGCCAATCAAGTTGGAGTCGCCATCGGACCTGTTTGGAAGCTCTACGGAAAAGTCGGTTTAGGTGCGATTCTGCATGTTCAATCGTTCTCAAGGAATGCAAGCTGGTCTCAGCCATTGAATGATACATGGAATGTCGGAGATCCTGGATAAACAAAGGACGCAACGATATGCGGCCGAGGTTGTGTATGATGGAGGAATGGATTTTTGTCGTGAGATTTGATGAACAATGAAGTGCTTGGCCTGCGTAGCCGTCAAGTTACTGAATCAGGATTGTGATTGACCTCAATGCCAAAATGTCCAGCGTTGTTCACAGTACGCCTAGTTGCGGTCAGGAACGCCGTAAACTCATGCTTTTCTGCTAGGACATAGATAGCAAGAAACTGTAAATGACCGGGAAGCGGACCTGAGAACATTACATCCGCATTCGTCAAGGCAGCGTCATAGCGTCGTGCCACCTACCGCCTTCAACTTGGCCTCGATGCATCTGGAAAGCTTTCGTTCTCACGTCAGCATACGGGCTCTTGTTCGGGAGACTAATGGACTGTAGTCCGATGTCTCCTACACGCTACAGGTCCGACATAGCGACGACCAACCTTCAGTGACTTCAAAGGTCTTACCCTTTCTAAGCCTCCTTCTTCGTAATCGAGCGTCCATTACATATCGTGTCGCTCTAGGCTGTTGGCTACCCTTGAAGTGCACTGGCATTTCTTCGCAATAGATTTTGAGCCGAGAAATTCTGTGCATCCAGGCAAGTCATTTGAGGTATCTTTGACAGTGTAGTCTACGCATATGAATAATTCTTTAGGTATCATTTTTTCATCCGGCTTTCGAGATAAATGTATTGTAGTATCTTGATGATACGAACGCACGATTCAGCTAGATGATCTACCTGAACGATTTTTCTATCGAGCACATTTGTGTGTGTCATTCCCCAGAGTCTTTGGCCCTTGATGACTGACCAGGCAAATTGCAGGCCATCAATTGCAAGTGAAAAAAAAACAGTAGGACAGATTGGTCGCGCGCAACCGCAACCGCATATACAATAATATGGAAAAGGCATCACCGCGAGAGATTCGAAACAACAGGTCGAGCTCAGGCTCACAGGAGCCGAGCATCGGGCTAGCATATAGTCCGGGGATTGAATAGCGACACAATATAGTTGTGGAAAACGAATTACTTGGGAGTAACGTTATTGATATGCTTCCTGTTCAATCGAAACTACTGTAAGGGATGATCATAACTAATGTGTGCATGAATAGATCATCAAAATACTATCGAGAGAGATCAATTAGTAATCAATAACATCTGAGGTCATCGAGTAGCATTGGAATCGTTACGTTCAAGCAATTATGATCGTGTCGTTCGCCGTCTGCAAGTAAGGTTGCGGGCTAGCCTGCATCCCACACATCATCAGCATCACCTGCAACATCGCACACTAATTGCCAATCTGTACTTACGCCGACAAGCACGAAGTGGGTGGCGCTCAGGACGGCCTCGCCTGAAGCAAAACCCGCCGGAATCTGAACGGTGAAGTTCTCTGACGGATAATAGTCGCCAGACTGGTAGGTGGGATTGAACGGGCCAGTGTAGAGAGTATTGCCGAGACGCTCAGTGGGATCGAAATTAGCGCAGCCACCGAAATCCGCACAGGAGATGAGATTGATAGCAAGGCCGACTTCGACTGAACCAGTGAGACTGTCCTGTAAATGTGCAAGATATTCAAAGAATTAGAAGATGAATGAGTGCACAATATGCGTGATGATTTTTCGAGAACGCACTGGCTTGTCAATCCGCACAATGAGGTTGCTACCCGCACTGACAGTTGTTCCAGACACAGGCAGACTAATGTCAATGTTCTGCGCAAATGCAGAGGCTATAAAGCAGACGAGGATGGCAAGACGTTTGATAGAGGCGAGCATAGCGTGAATGAGCACTGGAATGGGGACTTGGTCAGAATTGTGGGACCTGGCGTCGTGGGTTATATATGCGTTCGTCTGCCGATTGTGACCGCCGGGAAGGCGCGCCCGTTTCAAGTGATGATCAATAGAGAGCACCGCATAATTTGAGTCCAGGGGTCGATTGGTCATATGCCGGGCAATGCTTGCCGTAATTTACGATGGATAGCGTTTCAGAGCCAGCAGTGCCTCATCCAGCAATGATGGATTGTCTAACAGAGTCTCTAAACATATAAAGTCGGCCGGGCACTATTACTTTGCATAGCACGTTCGTGGGCTGCAGATGATCTTGACCTGCGCTCGTTTTGATCTTTTGCGCGTACTGCCATCCCTGTTTGGATTAAGTCTACATTCAACAAAGCGCCATCATGATAGGAATGCAAAGGCGGACTGATAGCCCTGGAGCCCATCAGCAAGGGCAAAGTCACCGCTGACGTATATGAATCCTGTCGTGTTTCATATAGATAGGGAATCAGTCAAGTTGTTTGCTAGGTGGCTTGCGTCACCGAAGCAAAATATGGACTTGCTTAGTGTGTCATCGGACGACATGCACCTCGTGTTAAGCCATCTTCAGCGCTGTAGTGAAACTCTGGGAATCAGTGGGCTTGGCTCTGGCTGACGCAGGTGGCGTCGTCAGTTCGGCTCCAGCGCCACCAGCTTAAGCACATGAATATCCCAAAACCGTAAGCGCTAGACGGAAAGGTTCTACCAGATGCCCAAAATGTTGCATCTTCATGATCTTTATCTTCGTTCCTCGATACGTGTGAATGCACTGGCAGCGCAATGTTTTGACCAAATGAGTCAACTCTAAAAACTTTTGATTTTATGCCATTCAATGTAAGAAAACTTACGTCCTTATCTCATATCGGTAACTGCAGTACTGAAGCGTTAATTCAGCACCGGCTTGGGGCATACAATGGACATAATTCGACGATCGAAGACCTTATCCGGAGCACGCTTCGGCGCAATTGGCAATGCTTGTTAATGGGGCTATGTAGAACAGATATGCTGAGAATCACTCATCAATTCTGGCTACAATGACCATCATAAGCCGAAGGAGATCGAAGAACCGGAGCACGGAGAGACTTACTATTTCTCTTATGCACCATAAAACACGTAGCATTCCGAAGCATAGGATTGCAGCCCCGAACGCTGATCACCGAGGTGTAGGGTGCACGATCATCGCGAAGAAAATATACACTGTCCCTCGATACTCCATGATCATGCTGCTCACATTCATCAATACTTCTCGTAATAGATTGTGGGCAAAGTCAATGTTGTCGACAAAACCTCGGACTTCGTCGTATACTTGAAGCCCCCGTTTTGGACCGGCCCCGACCGCCTCTCTCTCTTACCACGATCATCTCTTCAGCGCTTAAACAGTTTTCTATGTCTCAGCCTCCAGCATCGCAGCCCTCCGGGACGGCGATGAGCTCTACTCAACCACTACCTGGCGAAGATCACGAGATGTCGCCGAATGGCCTTGACGAGGCTCCTCTCGACACCCCCGACGACGAAATATTGTCGGCCTGCGGTAATGATCTCGCGACGAAACTTGGACGCCTGTCCAACAGCCTCTACGACCGCAGGGACATCACTGCCGAGGAGATCCTCGGCACCCTTAGCAAACTCATGGACCTAACTTCTCTAACCATCCACGACCTCGGCATCGCCAAAGTCTCCCTCCTCGGTCCTACCTTCGATACTATCGTCGGTGAGGCTGATTCATTTACCTCTCACCTGATCTCGATGCGAGGAGGACCGGCACAACCGGCCTCCAAGAAAGCTCGCATCGACGACACGCCGAGCGATGTCATCGCCGACGCAGTCAAGGGCGCCCTTGGCCCTATCATGTCCGATATCATGAGGCGTTTCAACCGCCTCGAGGATGAAGTGCGGCGCAAGCCTGCCTCACGCTCCACACGTGCACACCCCGATGCTGCTCG